TACAGAACTATGGACGTCTTTGTATATTGATCAGAAGTGTTTTTACTGAAGTATAGACGTCTTTGTATATTGATCAGAAGTGTTCACAAAGAACTATAGGCGTCTTTGTATGTTGATCAGAAGTGTTTTAAAGAACTATGGACGTCTTTGTATATTGAACTGAAGTTTTGATGTCTACGTATATTGAAAAGAAGTGTTCTTTACAGAACTATGGACGTCTTTGTATTTTTCTACAGAAGTATGGAGGTCTGTGCATATTTATCAGACGTTTTCTTCTACAAAAGTAAGGACGACTATGTATTTCTCTACAGAAGTATAGACGTCTGTGTATATTGCTCAGATGGTTTGTTTCTACTGAAGTATGGACGTCTAAGTGCATTTATCAGAAGTTTTGTCTACAGAATGTGTGTTGATAAGACGCTGGAACGATTCATTTGTCTAAACTGATGTCCTTTCAAAATCATACTCATTGCCCCTGCAGCCAGTCTCATACAATCTTCTGTTTGCCTCATGGCTATATCTGCATCCTCTTTCCTGAACAGATATATGGCTGCCACAGTCAGGTTGAGATTATAGAACAAAGTTAATACCTACCTTGAGTAGACTGGCTGGTGAATGCTGATTCCTTGTCCTCCATTCGTTGGAGAGCCGGCAGAAGCCAAAATCTCTTCTAGGATTCCTTTGGCTGGAGAATAATAGTATATTTACATAACAGCACAAAAATCTTTTGATTTCAATTGACAAAGTAAAACAATCACCATTTAACAAAGGAATATTTACGATGAAATTTCTTTGAGATAGTACATGTACAGCATTGCCATACTTCCTGCATACGCATACATCTGGATTCTGATATTTATCTAATTATTTCAGCCTCTAATCATAATGGACAAATAGTTAAACATGTTCCATTTTATAAGTAAAATATTTTGTGTTTTAATGCAATTTTTTCTTCTTTCTCCTTTCTCACAAGTCTGTGTTAAATATTACTCAACACACACACATATATAAAAATAGACAGTTATTCTTTAATGAGCAAAAAGCTTCCAAAACATACTGATTGATTTAATGTTTATTACTAAATTACAAATTTAAAGACATTTATCAAATGCTTATTCTCAAATATTCTGAATTCACAGGTTCAGCAAACCTTAAAGATACATGAATGAGGTTCAATACAATTTACAAACCAATTCAAAGATAGATTTAACTGATTTGTAGTGACGTTGTAAAAGTATCCTTAAAGAGCAATAAAGAGAAGAAGGCCATCTGACTGTCGAGTTTAAGGGGAGGCAACTCAGATTACTGCATTCCCTTTAGGAAAATGTTCAAGATTTTCCGAGGAAATGCAATGTAACTTTGGAGTGTAATCACTAATATTGCCATTGGTTGCCATATTTCCTTAAGTAAAATCAGTGCCTTCATAAAGGAGACTAGATATTTTTTCCCCGACAATTTGATAAATGACGTTAAGACATGACTACCTACCATATATAGGAAGGGAAAACTCTGCACAACACTAATGACATTGGTTTAAACTAGAAATTGGGAAATTCCCTGTATGTTAACACTTAAGCATGTCCCTAATAACCTATCTATTAAATGAATTAGTTCTTATTTCACAATTAAAACAATTTTTTATCTGCTTATTCAATGTCAGTACTCACACTGCTGTGTCTTGGAGTCTGCCATGGCTGATGGATCATAGGCTACTGGGCGCGGTGCTCTGGAACGAGGGGCAGGGGTGTCCAGGGGGGACCCTTTAGGAGATACCGGAGTTCTGTTGACTGTCGTCTTACTGAAAGCTCTCCTAGGCGGGGCAGCTCCAGGTGTAGGAAACTTTCTTTGTTGGGGAGGTGTGAGCTGAGGGGAGCCAACAGCTGATCTGGTGTGCGGTGTATCTCTGGTAAGTGATATCAATTTGGCCTGACAGAAATGAAAATATATAGTCAATTGATAATTAGTTCCTCTGAATTTTGAAATACATTACATCATTCTGCTTTGTGCTTTTATTAGTCAACTACTGTGCATTTTCATCTGATAAGTATGCAATATTTACATGCAGTCTATCAGTAAATGCTATTCCAATAATCATCTGTGTGTAAACATGAAAATAATTATAAATATGTAGACATCTTCCTTCTTCAAAATCTTAATCAAATCTTACCTTGTAATGATAAAGGGTAAATATCTACCTGCATCTGTAGTTGATGTTCCTGCAGGCGTTCCAAGTGTTCTATCCTCTGATCTGTAAGTTGAGACACTTGTCTCTCAAGGGCCATAACTTTCTGGGATTCCTGTACTGCAGCTTCTGTGTCAGATGCAATCTGCTTGGCTGAGCCACCATTTTGTATCACTGCCATCTTCTCCAAAATCTGAGCCATTTTGGATTCCAAATCATGCTGGGCCTAAAAAAACAACATGCCATATTTAAACAAGAAACGTTATAAAAATGAAATACTGAAATACCTGTAATTGCTTTAAAAGGTTACAAACTATTGTGAATATCCTTGAAATTTTTATGAAAGTTGTTTTTGTACATTCCCACACAATGTTTGGATATAACAAATATTTAGGAACACTAATGATATATTCATCATGTATGAATCAAAATCGTTGAATTAACAGCTATTTTACCTAATATATCACATTTGTAAGTAAATGCCTTGAACATGTTCAGGTAATTGCTACTCATTGACAGTGTCGCTGAAGACATGACATGGATGATGCCTTAACCTTTACCTTAAGGAAGGGTTGTGTGGCTGCTACAGCAGCACTGGCTGCCACAGCAACAGCAATGGCCTCACTTGTCTGCCCTGTCACCTTTGACCCTTCACCTTTGACTTCAGGCCCTTTTTTGTCTGCACCAACTATTCTTGGCTGAACAACCCTCTTCACAGGCCCTGGCTGTTCATACCTAGAAAAAGCGGAACTTATATTGCAAGGAAAGAAGTTTGTAATTTGGGCATCACATCCACATTAACCTGATATATTCTAACAGAAAATTCTTTATACAGTAATTCTTATAAATAAAGTGATGTTGAATCTAAGTAAAAATGTCCCTGACATTCAAGCAGTTTCACTATTTTCTTTTTGATGACTTGCATCGACATTTCAGTAGTTTTATTCTTTTCTTTTTGATGCCTCGATTTTTTTGAGCATGGTTCCAAAGTTACCTTTTTGCAAATGTCTGTCTGATAAGTTTTTGTTTCTCTGACATTTTGAAGCTTGAGATTTTAACTTCCGGTGACTCATTCCTTTTGTCTAGTCCACTGGCTCCCTCTACTGGTGCCCCCTGACGTAGACCTCCACCAGTCATCTGTTAAAAAGTTACAACCTTTTATGAGCTTACTATTATATAATGAATATTTGTATTAGTCAAATTTAATTATACTTCCAAGAATAAATTTCAAATATGTTAAAACCTAGAAATTAGTGATGGTATTAACTTTCTTACTGCTAAAAATGGAGTGTCATAGAAATCACATATTTAGAAGCATAGTAAATATCTAATAAGATGACCTTTGACCCTAGTTGATATCTGGCAGACAGCATTGGTGGGACCCTTTCTTCCTCCTGTTCCAGTGGCCCGGTATCACTGAGAGAGGCGTCTGTTGACAGTGATGTACGTGCTGACACTGTGACAATCCTCTCCTTTATTGTGACTATCTCTGGTTGACTACTCCCACTTACATTTAGAACAGGGGAGGCAACTACAAGAGAAAAACATTTGTCAAATCATATACCATGCCAATACTGTTTGGTTCCCTTCTAAATTTTGTATATTAACAAATAACACTGAAAAGTCAAACATTTTGATCTTATTGATTCAAAATCATTTTAGACTGAATTCTCAATTTCAATATATTGAAGCTAAACTATAATTTAATTGCATCAAAACCTCTTGCACAAGCATATAAATACAAGTACTATTGAATTTGTTTTTGATTATTTTTGTGATAATATGAACAAATTAATTAAATTTGTAGTATGTAAATATATTCAGACAGATTATAAAGTGTGTTAGACCATAAGCATACCTTCTTTTTCAAGCAGATCAACACTACCACTGAGGTCTAATGTTGGATCTTTTCCATGGTCACTCTGGGATTCCTCCAGATGTTTCTTCCTCTCCGGCTGAATCATCTTTTTCGGTGTATGCCTCTCCACAATGACCCCTGCAGCCTTTTGTTTACTTACTCTGTAAGGATCCGAAGTGTTTGATGGGGTTACGTGTGTTTTGATTCCTTTTCTTTCTATTAACTCCTTGCCTTCATCTCGAGGAGAAAACTCATCAAAGGTGTCAGATCTTTGAGTTTGCATTGGTGAAAAGAAGTGGTCGTCTTCCTTGTTGTCTCTTTTTGTGATCTCACTGAGACCTCTAGGTGCAGACTGTACTTTGAAATTGCTAGTTTTTGAAACCACAGGTTTGGCAATGGCATTCTTACTTAAATTTTTGTCATCACTGTTCATACCTGAGGCATCCACTGATCTTTCACCTGGTTTAATAGGTGCTTTCCTAACAGCTGGGGCACTTTGTTTATCGTTTTCTTTATCTTCTCTGCCTCTTGGACTTGTTTCAAAAGGGGACTTAATTTCTCTCAGTCTCTTGGTTGAAATTTTTACTTTTTGTGCTCCAGAAGTATTAAAATTTTCTGATCCAATTGATATTTTGGAACATTTTGAAACATTACTCAAGTTTTCCCCATCCTGCAACATAAAGCTCCTTTGGTCAGGATCAACAGTGGTGGATGTTATCAAAACATCACTTGCTGTAGTGCTCTCATCTGAGTCATGAATTAGGTGACCTAAAGGTGGGCCTCTATTTTTCTCCGTTACAGTATTGGTTTTACATATACCACTGTCATGACTTGGTGAGTCATAATGTTCAGCTTTTCCAACTGATCCACGTGAAGAACGACTACTGGCAGAGGAAGACCTCACAGATTTGTCCAGGCCCTTGACCGCTGCGTCTGTGAGGGCCAGCAACTCTAGCATACTAGACTGTGCCATGGTAAAACTAAAATGAAAGAGGATAAAAATGTATTATCATAATCTAAATGTATCTATATATGTATACTGAACAAAAAAAGAAACGCACAAATAAATTATGCAATCAATAGCCTATGATATTTTGGGAAATTTGTACAAAATTTTATATCAATATGAAGGGACAAGTCTACTCTTTACAATACTGTAGAAGAAAAGTTTGTGTGACGTCACTCGTGTCATCAGTAGTTACTCAAAGTGGGATACCCGCTAAAACAAAATGACATTTCAGTACCTGGTGCGGGCACCTTTTGCACGAATCCCTGCACAGATTCTCCTATGCATTGAATTCATGAGAACATTTATTTGCCATGTTGTTTCATTCTTGTGTTAATGCTGCGATCAACTGGGCGTGGTTAGTTGGGGGGTTTTGACGTTTCCTAATACGCCTGTCCAGCTCATCCCACAGATGCTCAATGGGAGACATGTCGGGGCTATATGGGGGCCATTCCAGAGGCTGAATGTTGTTTGCCGTGAGAAAATCATGACAGACTCTGGCAACATGCGGTCAAGCATTGTCTTGCTGGATTATTTTTTTATTTTTTTATTTTATTTTCATTGGAAAATTAGGTTATGACGTCTGAGATGTGGAAGGACATGTGGTTGGAGGATCTGGTCTCTGTATCGAACGGCATTGAGGTTTTGATCCAGGACCACTAAGGGGGATTTTACTCCATGGGAGATGCCTCCCCAAACCATTACAGAAGCCTCACGGAATCTATCGCGTTCAACCACGCATGCGTCGACGAAACACTCCCCGCGTCAGCGATATACCCTTTTTCTTCCGTCTGAGTGATACAGACAGAATATAGACTCGTCAGTAAACATCACACACCTCCATCGACGCATCCCAAACCTATTCCGGCCATGTCTGCGCATCCAGTCAAGACGCACTTGCCGCCTCCGGGGTGTCAGAGGTGGCCCGACATAAGGTCGGCGTGCAATGATTCTCTCGGCACGCAAGCGGCTTCTGGCAGTTTGAGGACTAATGGGTCTGCCATGAGTACCTAAAGTATGCGACGCAGTCTCTACAGCAGTCTTGAATATGTTGCGCAAGTGCGACAATCGAATCGCCCTGTCTTGTCGTGCGGTCGTTACACGCGGACGACCGCTCCTGGGACGATCGGAAACTAACCCAGTAGCACGAAAACGTGTACAGAGACGGTTAATTGTACACGGGCCAACACCAAACTGCCGTGCGACAGCAGTTTGGCTATTACCATCCATCAACATCGCAATTGCTCTACCCCTCTGAATTTGCGTTAAGCGTGGCATCTCAGTCAATGNGGGGGGGGGGGAACTTTGTGCGTTTCTTTTTTTGTTCAGTATATGACATTGATAAATATAACAGACAAAAAGTCTTCAAAGCTCAATATCTAATAGTTGTTTGTTGCACACCCATTTCTCTCTAAGAAGGGAGGTGTTATCATTTGGATTAAGGATATACATGTATATGAAAGCACTGATATTGCCATTTTTTGTATTTAGAAACATATAACAATGTCTTAGCTTTAAGTTTGACATTGTTTTTTAAAATCCTATCCAACATAACCAATAAAAAATACACATTATATAATTAGTGAACAGGGACACTGCAGAGACACTGATATTTTGGAGTAATGTCTATTTTTGTGATTCCTCATTTCACAAGCCTGAGGGGATCATTGAGTTCAAAGTTTTATTCAATTTTTAAATTTTAAATAGGTTAAATGCATTGTGTACTGAAACATTATCAAACACAAGAAAGAAATGGTCAATTGGGGAATTTGTTTTACAGAAAATCGGGAATGTATAAGGTCAAAAGGGAGTGATGGGCCATGCAATGATTGATTATAACGAAAAATTGATCAGTTTGTTCTTTCTGAATGCTTATAAATCCCATTTATTTTTAGAAGTATTTACATTTGGTGCATGTTCAAGAAGATAGTTCTATGTATTTACAGCTCTTAAATGCAAAAAAGTATTTTCTAATTTAGAATATTATGGAAACATTTTTTATCTAAGTTCCCTGTCTTTGTGATTGTCCTTTCCCTATCTTTATGTATGTAACGTACGGGCAGTCACCATCAAACTACTGACCATGCTCGAAATTGCTGAACTAGTGAGCGGGTCCCCAGGTTATCTGCATCATTTGAAAAGCAAACTTGCCAGCTGTAAGGAAGTATTTTCCCTGCACATTCCTTAGCTGTTACATGTATACTTTAACAGCTCTGTATATTGATGTTACAACAGTGTTGCCATTTTATTTTGGTATTCAGTCCTAAGAATTATATGAAATTCAATAATCTTTAGGTCTGTTTCTTTTGATAACAAACCAATTATCGAAAACGATACTAAACCAATTCCAATTAACTGCCCCTGACTATATGAGGGAGAACATAAGAGATGTGTTTACTGTTTATATTCTCTGAGAAATCTATCCATAACCATTACAAATTTGGCTTAGATTGGTCCCTGGCACATTACCTCATGATCAGTCAATGAACATTGTATGACCATGCCATGATGCATTGACATCATTCAACAAGTCTGAGCATTATAAAGTGTCTTGCGTTAAAAGCCGAAAAGAAATCTCATTTAACCTACATTTTGATCACAATAATTTTGAACGAGAAAGAACAAGATAAAAATTAGTCACATCATAAATTTATAGCATTCTTTATATAGCTATATATATAGCCATTTTGGTGCCGTACTTTAGACATTAGGGTACTTGTACACGTATCGGCACCAAAAAGACATGAGTTTTCTCGATCGCGTTCCGATACTATAGGCCTACTCTCGGTGACCATACTTGGTTTATGGTACATGGTGGTCGACGTCTTCGTAAGCATAATTCAGTGCTTCTGTTGACGCGCCTCTTCATATAGTTATTCACTTATTTACTTAGAAATAATCGGATAAATGTTTGGTTATGAGATATATTTGGCAGCCTAGTTGATATCATAATCAAAAACAAATCAAGTTGTAACCTTCTACCTCTTGTTCTAAATTACAGACTGCATACTTTTCCTCGGCGATGTCAAAAAGAGTTCAACACACACGCCATCCCTTCTCATTCCAAACTCCCGCTGCCATTTTTGTCAACAATGTCATCACCAAATGCCAACTGTAAGAAGCAATTTGATTGGCTGACTTCTTTGATATTTTATTGCTGTAATATTTTATCTCTTTTAGGAACTAAAATATTGAACTTATAATTTAAAATTATAAAACACCATAAGAAATAAATACACTTTACACCATGACATTTAATAAAGAATTCACTTTAATACATTTAAACTTACGACATCTAAAGTTTTGGTAAAAACCTATTTCCGGTAGTAAATGTGTCTGTGCATGACTTCTTACACACGTGGGTATGTTATCCTTTTCACATGAAATAACGGTCGAGTATGAAAAGTAACTAAAACCATAACTGTCACACTGTTCTTTTTCATTTGAAAATCACAAATCTCTTTCACTGGTTCAATTTGTGTATATCTGTTTGTAGATGTATAGATGGCTAAAACTTGCTAAGGTATGATTATTTTATATATAACCACGGAATTAGATTGTTATCTAAGTCCGTGAATATGACGTTATATATATATATATATGACCAAATACTGCTCAGTAGACTATCCAACTCTATGGGTAATAAAATACATGTTTTTTTCATATACTTATAACGCCCCATATATAACTATGCTAATATTATGTAAACTTGCATGATTTGATATAGCGCCCAATCAGAGACGTATACGTCTCTTGCTCAATCAAATCAGAATAAGAGTCAATAAAGTGCTCAAAATACATGAATGTGCAATCAATTAATACAATTAAAAACCCCAAGAACCTTGAAGAATCTGCATTTATCAGGTGCTTACTACTGTCATAAGCCACATTGCTAATACCTCCACATGTGTATGCTTGCCTTCACTTGTGCTGGATATATAGTAGTGTTCCATTTTGCTGAAGGACCATGTTTTAAGTGACATTTCCCCTTCCCCCATATTTTCATCTGACTTAATATTGCTGCACAGACAGATGTACTGGGAAATATAAGTTCTCAAAAAGTTTGATGTTACAACAACTTTACTTAATGTATTATGGTATCAGGAGTGTGCATCCCGCCACCTAGCCTTCCATCCACTCATTGGTTTCTGCTAGATTAAAGTAAAATATCTTTGACGAAACCTTATCAGCATGTTCAATATTCAAAGAATGAGGTTCAAAGTAGAAAAAAAACCATGCATATGACTGGATTTGAATAAAATGTATTTACATTATTCATAGTGTTAGGAATCAATTGAAATGTTGTGATCATCATTGGCTACCATTAACTAGCCGATGATTGATTAATAATTGTTTTCAAAAAATATAAATAAAAAAGATACCACAATATACAGCTATTTCACAAACTTCACTGGATTTTGATGAAATGGATCAATATTTATACTATACAAATACAAAGGCTATAAGTTTCAGTTTGAGTGAGATCTGACTGTAAACTATTTATGAAACACTCAAGAAATTCTTTGGGTTCATTGATCAGGGTTTAAGATTTTAGACAGAGGAAGGCAATTCCTATACAATTAAACGATTGTTTAAAGGTATTGAAGGATATAAGACATTTGCATTTTTATACATTGAATACCTTCAGGTAGTGAAGTTAAGTACATTGCATTTTTATTTTCTCCTTTTACCACATACATGAATTTATTTGTTCAACTTTACTGTGCTTTAGAAATCAAATACATTTTCTTGTTACATTTTAATATTGTCCTACATTTTAACACAAGAATGCACCAGAAGGAATTTTAAGTATATGTCACTTTGGCATAATGCTACTTCGGTGCTACAACTGTAGCTAAGTCATGCCAGGAAAACACTCTGAATACAAATTTGTTTGAAAAATAATCCAATGTTTATGCCACTGTTAAAATACTATAGCATGCATGTTGTCAACAATAATGAAGTGCCTGCAAGCTTGCGGAATGCGCCATGATCCAGTAACTTTCAATTAAAATTTGTAGGTTAATTTCAATTCACAAATAAACAATTTATAGTTAGGTCCCGTTCTTGCTGGTTGCAGTTTCCCATTTGTATCCTGTTAAGCAGTGTGTGTTGGGGATACAATATTCCCTTTTTTGATGTGTGTAGCATTTATGATTTTGTTTCAGGCTAAGATAGAAGTACACCATGGCTGCTCAAGAACCTAATATGATGCAGGTGCAGGACAAGTCTATGGTAAGAATCTACTGTCATTTCTTATCAAGCATTATACTTGTACATACGTGTGACTGTCAGTTAATGAGGTTCTTAAACAGAATTTGAACAGAATAAACAGGCAGCAATTATACTTTGAAAAACAATCCAATTATAACAAGAAACTTATCAGACTCAAATTTATTGAGGCATTCATGAATATTGTTCAACAGCAACACAGTGTCACTAGTACTGCAATAATTCAAGTTAGCTGCAAGAAATGTAATCCTGATACTTAAAGTTTACCATATACTTGTGCGAGATATGGGAAGAATGTAGAATACATTAGTTTAATTTAGATGCAGGTCTTACAGCATGCTCCAAATCGATGACAGTCCATATAAATGTATAATTCTTTGTTATGAATTCCATTCCAGTGGAGAGCACTTCTTTTATCCTATAACAAATTAGGAGAGGAGTGCTTCGTGGATTGTGTTCATGACTTCACTTCAAAGAAACCCACCAAACCAGAGGTAATGGATAATACATGTATCACATTTAGAAAGTATTCATATGCCTTTGTGGGTATTCTTAGACTAGCTTTGGTTTTAATTTGATTGTACTTTCTAAATCTTGAAATTAAAACAGATTGTTAAATCTCAATGATGAGTCATGAGGTAAACTTTATCAAAAATGGTATTAACTACAATATATAGCAATCAGTAGTTGTACTATAATGGTTAATTACCTGTTACTAATATACATATGAATATTATATATATACATGTATAATTCAAGAGGTTTGTTTTGAATATTTTACTAAACAACATGTAGATATCTTTATATTGTTGCGGTATCCTTCCCTGGATCTTATCGTCCTCTACATGTTTCAGCATCCCAGAGGTTGTAGTTGTTAGTATCATCATCCCTGTCTGATTTCTTGTTGCCATGTATCATCATCATCATCATCATCATCATCTCTGATGTCTTTTGTACCATGTATCATCATCCATGATGTCTTTGTACCCAATATTATAATTTCTGAGGTATTCATCTCCAGATGTCTTCCGTGTGCTTTATCAGCTACTGTTTTAACTGCTGTTATTTGCATGTACATAATTATGTCCTGAAGTTAACTTCTATTTATGTTTTCAGACGAAGTGCGCAAATAATTGCTTACAGAAACATGCCAGGGTGACCCAGCGTATTACTCAGCGAATCAGTGAATTCCAGATGACTAAGATGGAAGGCATGGAAGCCCCGACAGCACAAAGATGATGAAAAATAACTGATATTTAACATTTATCTAATTGAACAATACACACCACAGTGGAGAAAGTGACCCTGTCTGCCATTAACAGACATGTGCTGTGATGTACTAGATACATTCTAAATGAAGACCTGTTTCTTTGGTACAGAGATGTATCAGATGCATTCTGAGCCCACTTGGCATTAACAGAAGAATGAATAGGTCTATTGTACATTTCAGTTCAGTTTAGTATTTTGTTGCTGTTGTTTAAGTTCACATTTTGTGTACATGGAAGTTCCGAGTTATTAGTAATAATTGTGATCAAACCTTTTTTAGCCCACCATCATCTGATGGTCCGTGGTCCGTGGTCCGTCCGTAAACAATTCTTGTTATCGGTATTTCTCAAGAGGTACCAGAGGGATCTTTCTCAATTTTTTTATGCAGGTTCCCCTTGGTCCTTAGCTGTGCAGGGCAACCTTTGAGACTGATCGGATAAACAACATGGCCGACAGGCAGCCATCTTGGATTTTGATATTGAAAGTTTGTTATCGCTATTTCTCGGGAAGTATCAGAGGGATCTTTCTCAAATTTTATATGTAGGTTCCCCTTGGTCCTTAGCTGTGCAGGGCAACTTTTGAGACTGATCGGATAAACAACATGGCCGACAGGCAGCCATCTTGGATTTTGATATTGAAAGTTTGTTATCGCTATTTCTCAAGAAGTACCAGAGGGATCTTTCTCAAATTTTATATGTAGGTTCCCCTTGGTCCTTAGCTGTGCAGGGCAACTTTTGAGACTGATCGGATAAACAACATGGCCGACAGGCAGCCATCTTGGATTTTGATAGTGAAAGTTTGTTATCGCTATTTCTCGGGAAGTATCAGAGGGATCTTTCTCAAATTTTATATGTAGGTTCCCCTTGGTCCTTAGCTGCGCAGGGCAACTTTTGAGATTGATCGGATAAACAACATTGCCGACATATAGCCATCTCGGATTTTGATAGTGTGGGTTTGTTACCGCTATTTCTCCCGAAGAACTAGAGGGATCTTTCTTATATATGTGAAATGACAAACTCACTTTGAAGGTTGGCTTTCATACACATCAGTATTAAGTTTAGATCAAAAGTTACCTCAAGGTGCATTTACTGTTAACATGACTCGATCAAACAGATTAGAGGAAAGAAGAGAAAAGATCGAACTGACAAAGAACTAATGAAGATGGTACAAAGGTGGGCGCCAAGATCCCTCTGGGATCTCTTGTTTTAAAATGCTGTTTCTATTACATATCATGTATTTTCTTTTATTATATTTTACAATATAAAGCAAACAAAGCACCTGGATCTGTTTGGTTGCAGTTGCTGTATTGCTATTTGGACTGTTTAAGTTGGACAGAGTGGCATTTTATTTATTGTCTCACAAGTTAGAAATAACACTTAATGATTCATCTATATATGTTATTGCCGTGTTCAATCAGTCAAACGGAAATTTCATATTCATTATTTATGCAACTGTTCTACAATAAATGTCATCAATAGATATGTTCGTCGAGTCTTACATGTGTTGTTGAAAAGGAACACCAGTTCAATAAGTTCATTACGCAGCAAAGCATTGTAAGCTACCATTAACCATTAATGCTTGAAAAGTTGTATCAACAATGAATAAAATATTAGAAGTAAGAAATTATAGATGTATATTATTAACTCATTAGCCATTAATTATCGGTACATATTGCTCTGTCTCTCTCATTAATGTTCATCCTCTTCTTTCCTCTCTCGCTCTCAGAATAAACTTAAATCACTTGATTACCCTGTCTCACATGGTAGCCCTTCATCCCAGCATGTTACTTGCCAAATATCATTATCCTAGGCCTCTTAGTTATTCAGAAGAAGTTGTATAAAGATTTTTTTAAAACAATTGACCCCTGTGACCTTGAAAATGGATGAAGGTCATTCATTTGAACAACCTTGGTAGCCCTTCATCCCAGCATGCTACTGGCCAACTATCATCACCCTGGGCATTTTGGTCATTCAGAAGAAGTTGTTTAAAGTTTTTAACATATTTGATCCCTGTGACCTTGAAAATAGGTGAAGGTCATTTACTTGAACAACTTTGTAGCCCTTCATCCCAGTTTGCTTCTGGCCAAATATCATCAACCTAGGCCTTTTGGTTATTTAGAAGAAGATGTTTCAAGTAAAATATTGACACCGGACGCTGCACCATGGCATAAGCTCACTTGGCCTTTTGGGCCAGGTGAGCTAAAAATTAAATGTTCTGCTAATAAAAATAAAAGTACTACAATCACCAATTACAAATCATATATGAATCACATTTATGAATATGTTTTGTTTGAGCTAAAAAGTTATTTATATTGCAAACCGTCTTTCTTGGTAAAGAAAGCTCTCAAAATACGAGACAGAATTTTCTACTCAAAGTTATTTCAAGTTCAGGAAATCGTTTTTACCCTTCCCTTAAATTCTTTTTAATGACTCTTGAAATATTCTTTGCTGATTCACAACAAATACTGGATTTTTTTAATTATTTTTTAATACAAAACAGAAACGTTACACACAATAATACACAAGTATAACATATTCATTCTGTCAGCAATAACTAATCATCCAGTTCTCCCATACACTTCCATAATACTAACCAGAATGACTCTTACACACATCTATTGAATTCGGACACATCAGATGAGTTTGTTTCCCAGATAAAGCATTATGTGTTAAATATATAAAGGGACTTAACTCCTCATTATATCAGCAGTGTAACAAGTGATGTCATAATGCTATCAATGGATGTGAGGGATTGATGCCAGCGCTAAAATTACTGTGCCCTACTGGTCAAACCAATCGGTCCTGACTGACATGTCAGAAGTACTGGTCAAACCAATCAGTCCTAACTGACATGTCATAAGTACTGGTCAAACCAATCAGTCCTGACTGACAGTTCAGAAGGAGATATCTCTATGGATATTTACAGACAAGAAATCTTCTAGTGATGTGATTGGTACTTTAGGAAGAGACATGTAGGTCAGCCGTCAACAGACAATTCAAATCATTATACAACTATTTATGAACTATTGATGAAGTCATATAGTTTATATTTCACTCGAACATAAGAAACACTTTCACCCACAGGTTGTTAGCACATCGTAAAAATGTGCAAAATACATACATCTGTTGGAAATTGTGAATCTCAATTTAACCAATTACTGTAGCCAGTGTTTCCCCTGGCCATGACACCAGACAAAGACATTTTGACAGATGGCTGTCTGGTGTACAAGACATCTATCTATCAAAATGTCTGAGTCTGGTGTTGGGGCCAGAGGTAACTCGGGCTACAATTACTGGTATACATACATTCTACTCATAAAGTTAATTGTTAATTTCTTAACTTTACAGGTTTTTTATCCTGGAAATCAATTTGAATAGTGACATAATTCATATTTAAAAAAATTACAAGAACACGCTGTCAAATCACAACAAACAGCATTGTCAAATTATCGAACATTATATACTTTTTCATGACTGTTGGACAAAATTGGTATTACATTTTGCTTGAATTGTAATATAATGAAATCAAATAATATAAACAGGTCAGGATTTTTTGTCCTCATTATAATGAACAGATAAAAAAAGGACAAGCAAATCAATAAAGAAATGGTACATTGAAATGATGATTGATGTATCAGTAAATTGCAAATTTCTTAATTAACTTAATACCAGCGTTCAATTTATTTTCACAAACTACCCTTTAATGTATTATCTTAAACAGATTGTGTCAATTGTATGTAATTGATAACGAACAGACTTATTCAATAAATTAAGTATATTTTACACAATACTTCAGTCATCAAGTCTTGTGGGTTACATAAAAACAAGTCCTCTTACATAAATCCTACATGTACACTTACATACTCATCTTATGAAAAATTCTGGATCCAAGTCTGTTGTCTGGAACCACACAAATCTTTCAGATTTACATTTTCAGTTATTGAGCAAAAAATTAACCAGGGATTCCATCAACTCTTCACTGTCACTGGGTAATTTCCTTCAATTTGGCTACTTCAAATTCACCGATTTTCTGAGTGATACGGTGAGAGACCTCATAGTACTTCTTTAAACAGTTTAATGAACATGATGTCTGAAACATGAACAAAAATACATACAGATTTTAAAACACATGTATTATATTTCATTTTAGACTAGAATATGCTACACCAACAGTTTCTGATGGACTCAGTTTTTCACAAGTGAACAAACATATTCATAATAGTGCTTACAGAATATTAAGGTAATCCCTAAAAACCTAAATGTATATATCCAAATCATTGTTGAGGTTTCATAGGTAATCTTATTATCAAACGGTCAAAATTTATAATTTTGTCTAATATTTTTTTTTTAGGATGATGTTGTCATTTACCTCTGATTTGCTGACTTTCTTTGTGGTGAAGTCATGGACACAGTCCACAAAACATTTCTCTGTCAATTTGTTATAGGTGGAAAAAAATGCTCTCCACTGAAAAAGAGTTAATGTTGAAAATGGCATAAATTGAATGTGATAACATTAAAAAAAATCACCAACATATACAGTTAGTGCAGTACAATATTGGGAGGAGCTTCATCTTTCTTAAACTTGATCTTGAGTCTTATCTGAAATGGATTCGGTCATTCTGGGCTTCAATCTAAAAAATAACACTGGATCCTAGCAAATGTATGCAAAATGTTGTCATATTTTCAGAGCAATCTGCTCCTTTATCAGGACACAGAAAAAACGCAAAATAATTACATTACATAAAAACAATATTAGAAATATCATAGATTATAGATAATATTTGAAAAAAGAAGCCCACTGGCAAGCGTAAGTTTATTAAAATAAATACTAATTCCATCCCGGTAGTTTTGGGGACTTAAATATTTGAGTCCTGGGCTGTATTCCTAGAACCGTTCTTGTGCTCAAGCATGGATTCTGTGCTCAAACATTCTTTCTTGTAACTGGCTTAAAATCATGCCACACAGCCAAACTTACAAATTTAAACATCGAAAATGGTATTCAGCCCCAAGTCTCTCCAAAATTCTTCCAGATCCTTGACAAAATGTAGGATTTTTATTAATTTGTCACTGGAATAAGAAATATTGCTAGAGCACAAAATCTGAGCATGTGTATGGTTTCATGAACACAGGCCCTGGACACTGGCTTTTCCTGCAAAACTCACAAAGCATCTGACTTAAAAAACTTTTAAGACATTATTACTAACAAATTAAGTCCAACCCTGGATATATACTCAATGTTGAAGTCTCTTCCAGTATTATACAGATAGCGATATAATTTTTTCTATCTTTTTGTAATTTGAAACATCAAAATATTGAAAAAAATCACTGCATCTCATGTTGTTAATCTGTTTTTTATTTCATGTGTATCAAACATGTAATAAATGTAAAATTTGTATTGTATTTTATCCATGGCTTAAGAAGTTTCCTACCATATCTTCCTCCTGCTTCACATTGGGATCTGCTGCAGCCATGGTGCTAATTACAAACTTCACCTTTTACCCTGCAACAGAAACAAAAACAAAACAATAAAGTCATGCCATCATCAGCAAAAGAGCATACCAATACTTGTTGGTAAGGTCATTGTAACAGATCAAGTTATTTAAAGACAGGTGTTTGGAAAAATCCTGCCAAAATTGAGGTTCCAGGTACTAGTGTTGCGTCACACGAGTGGTTATAAATGTAACAGGAAATGGAAAAATGCACAGCCAGACTGTGGTTCGAACCCGGAACCCTCAAAACTTAAGATGGACGTTCTACCAATTGAGCTACCTGGTCGCCGACGATCGACCCAGTCCAGTTCCGCTACATGTATATATGTATATATGGGTTTTCCTGTCTTCTGTTATAAAACACTCCCAGACATTTTCACAAATGATGCATGTTTATCGTATACAAGTAGACAGCGACTTAATTTACTCTGGCTGTTAAGCACACCTGGGCTACATATATTCATATTGATCCCTACAGGCCTATAGGGTTAACATGCCGTGCCGACTTGTGTTGAGATACATGTACACGTGGAGCGCTTAGCTGAGGCTCCGAAAAGCATACAGGTTCATGCAGGGTCAAAGTGTCTTTCGAAGCCAATCTTCATGTATCTCTCATCTCTCACATGTCACAATAACAACCTGATATAAAACAGGTCAATTACACACACCATGACAGATATATACATACATACCGACATGCACACACACAGTGCAAGTACTTATGAAATAGAAATCAAACTAAAATATTTACATGTCAAACGAAACAACTAGTTTGACCACTGTGACATTCTCCCCTGAAAAGGGAAATTATCCCGGCATTTACATAACTTATTGCCAATAAATTTAAAGAATACCACCTAGTGAATTTGGATATATATGCTGTATCATTTCAGCTTAATTTCGTAAATATGTTATGGGGAGAGCGGGGTCTTCATTCATATGTATGCATTATGGTTTTGATTAATTCCTGTAGGAACTCTATCTAAATCAGAGATATTATCAAGACAATTTTTGAAAGTAATCTTTAATCGGCCGGGGTCAGAACTTTAATTGGATCAGAGACGTATATAACACGTCTCTGATTGGATTGTTTGAAATAACTGTTTAAGAGTGCAGTGAAATATCTTTACATGTGTGTGGATTACAACAAAATCGTTGACACTTCAATGACAGAAACTGAGAACGTCATTCACTCATTGGCAAAAATAATTGTCACATTGACAAACAAATATACATCGTTACAGCCAGATAATCTGTTTTAAAATCTATTGGCCGTCTGATAACAGTTATTTTTGTTATCTGCAGCCTTCGATTCCTTATTGACAATATTGTAAACAACATACCCACGTGTATGAAAGTCATCGCCGCCACCGGAAGTGTATGTACCATAGTTTATATGTCGTAAAATATAACAATTTTAACAAGATGTATTATTATTATTATTATTTAAATTTCAATGTAGCTTTCATTTATGTATCGTAAATAGTTGGAATATTTCTCCATGGGATTTATAATTAAATGCCATGTTCATCTAATCATGTATTGTTTTTACAACATCCAAGTTTTGATAAATATATCCAGTTGTGATCAACATGACTTTCTACACACGTGGGTATGTTTTCTTTTCGTTGAGGCATGTTAATACAGAGAAAAGGATAGTCTTTGTTCACAGCATAACCATCAAATGAATTATTTAACGCTCAAGAGAGGATAAATCTTATCACGACAATGAGATATAATTTCAGAAACAAGTGCCCCAATGGGCCTGAATACCTCATAATTTCACACTTGTTATCATAAAAGTGGACTAAAATACAACTACAGGCAGAATATCAGTGTTTGATTAACAAGAACCTATTAAAACATTTAAACATATGACACCCGTGACCTTGAATGTCGAACAAGGACATTAGGTTGAACAGAATTTATAGTCTTCCAACCCAGCATGCTTCTAGCAAAATATCATTACCCTGGACTTTTTGGTTACATATAGCAAACCATTTAAAGATTTAAACATATATTGACCACTGTGACCTTGAATATGGGTGAAGGTTATTCATTTGAAAGAACTTGGTAACCCTTCATCGCAACCTGTTAATGGCCAAATGCCATCACCATAGACCTCTTGGTTATTCAAAAGAAGTTGTTTAAATGTTTTCAACATATTTGACCCCAGTGACCTAGAATATGATTCAAGGTCATTCATTTGAACAAACTTGGTAGCCCTTCATTCCAGCATGTAACTGGCCAAATATCATTATCCTTGGTCTCTTGGTTATTCAGAAGAATTTGTTTAAATTTTTTAACATATTTGACCCCTGTGACCTTAAAAATTGATGAAGGTCATTTCTTTGAACAAACTTGTTAGCCCTTCATCCCAGCATGCTTCTGGCTAAATATCATCACCCTAGGCCTTTTGGTTACTGAGAAGTTGTTTAAAGTAAAAAGTTGATGCCGGACGGACGGAAGACGGACGCCGCATCATGCCATAAGCTTACTTGGCCCTTCAGGCCAGGTGAGCTTATAAACCACAGGAGCATCGTTCAATCACAGGGGTTCGTTACTAATGTCTGAAATACACATATGCTATACTGATATGGGTCACAGCACACATAAACATAGTGTATGTTTATGTGTGTTGTGACGGTTCACATATGGGTCCCAGGTATGAGTTAATTCCTGTAGGAACTCGAATCAAGAGATTTATAACTATTGTTATAAATTTCTAATTTAGATAGAGTTCCTTTAGATATTAGGGTCACAGTCAGCATATACAAACACTATGTTTATGTGTGCTGTGACCCATATCAGTATAGCATACAAGTATGTATGTGTATTTCAGATATTTGTAACAAAAGAATATTTATTTAACGTCCCATACCATAAACATACAACTATTAGCTTGGTGGAGCTATTTCTGTGACAAATAACGAACCCTTGTGGTTCAATTTATCAAATTATATCTGAGGCCTCCTTATGTTTATATTACCATACATAATGTATGTTAAACAAGTACGCCTTATATTATTATTAGATATAAATTGATAAATTGAACCGTGCCACTGTGCATAAACCTAATGAAAAGTGTATGTTCAGAGACTGAAAGACACATCATGATCAGAGTGTAACGGATCAGGAATTAGGTCAGTCGTTGGTGAACAAATAGCATACATTGTTTGACTTGATCATACAGGTATATCTGAAGATTTTGAGGTCCAACGGGAACGTTATGTTGCATTGATTATTCCTCAAACTGTTATAATTTGTATATACACCAACTGTTGTACATTTTATATTTCCTTAGTGTTGAGTGTTAATAAATGATGGTATTGTTTTATTTAGTTTTCCATTTTGCAGGTGAGAGGTGAAATCTGAAGTGTGTGCCATGGCTGGTATAGATCCAAATATGATGATGGAGGGAAATGTAGGAATCCACTTAATCTGTTAATATTTACAAGTATTTTCATTGTAGTATATAATGCATGATCAATTTGTTTCAGTAGGTATTTAAAACATCACAATAAGAATTTTAATTTTTAAACCTGATTAAAACCAGATCTTTAAATCCACTCTGATAGTCTACATTGACCTGTCAAAATATCAGAGTGAAATAAAAGATCTGATTTTAATCAGGTTGAATAATTTTAAATAAAGATTTCCTTATACTGTTAATGATTTGTAAATTCAGGGATAAATGTTTTACTGTTCAAATACACAACATGTGATATTACACATGCAATCAGTGTATTTATACAATAATTAGCATATTATTTTACTTTGATGAAAATTGATGCCATGGTTCATGGAAAAAAAATCATAATGGGGTTTACGTTCATACATTTGTATTTGTAATAATATAATTAGATAAGATTGGTGAATTTTATAAAACTATAATTCTGTTTTTCGTAAATAAGACTATCACAGTACGAAATTAATTAAAACAAATTCACTTTTACTTTGCAGTGGAAAGCATTTCTTTCAACATATAACAAAGTGACAGAGCATTGCTTCCTGGATTGTGTGCATGATTTCTCCACACGGAAAGTCTCACAGATAGAGGTAGTTGGCAAAACATGTTTTTAACATCCGTAACTTTTAATTTCTGAATTATCTAGTACTGAAATGCACATAGGTACTGAAAGTGACCATTATCAAATTGGCATTAAAATTCTTTTCAGACATGTTTATGAACAGACAACTGGTCAGAATTTTGTATTCTGTAATTATGGTCAGTTAAATGAACAGGCATAACTCTTCAGTAAAACTAAATGTAAACAGGTATTTACTACAGTTTGAAATATGAAGAACATTAAATTTGATCTGAACTAACAAAAACTACATTGAACTCTTGTTCTGAAGTTATAGTTAGAGATCAAAATATTTGTTAGCTCATTTTTCATCATCCCTGTACAGCTTCTAGATATCAGAGGTCTTCAACTTGATGTTCTACATTTGTACATGTATGTCATCATTCCACACTTGTTGTCCTGTACCATCGTCCAGGATATCTTGGTCTCCCTTATCATCCCTGACATCTTGGGTCTTGTATCATCATTCGTTGTCTGTATTCATGAAACTGTTTTCATACTCAAAGATGGATTCTTTGCTAACACCAACTTTGTTAATCTCTTAAATTATGTGACGAGGTCAGAATGTTGTGTTAAAATATACTGAAAAGTGGTTTTCAACGGATTCACTTCAAACTTCATAGGAAGGTTCATTGCCATAATAGCTTGGACAAGTTTGATAACCGCAATTATTGGACCATAATTTACGGAGTAATGGCCCTTTATTCAATTGCCAAAACAGTGCCCACGCGATATATCTCGAGTAATTTTCTATGGATTAACTTCAAACTTCATAGGAAGGTTCATAACCACGAGGGCTTGAACAAGTTCGATTACAGTAATTTACGGAGTTACGTCCCTTTATTCAATTGCTAAAAGCTTCAAACTTCATAGGAAGGTTCATTGCCATGATAGCTCAGACAAGTTCAATACCTGCAATTATCGGTCTGTAATTTATGGAGTTATGGCCCTTTAAGTACAACCATACAGACAACTGCTCGTTCCGCTTTCGTGGTACCCTTGTTCCTATACAGTAATCTCCCCTTAACTTCTGTTTGGATACAACTATAGAAAAAGTTGGGCAGACACTTCAGTCTTGTATTGGTGTTCCGTACCTGTATCCCCCTTACTGTCTTGTTGGGACACTGTAATATCCACTCGACAAACAGCAGAGATGGATATATATATACAAAACAAAATTACATGTCAGATTGTTTCATACTATTTAGCAAGTATTTGATTTAGGTATTTTGTATCAATGATATATAACATGTTTGTTTGCTAATGTCAATCTGTTTTATATTTTCAGACTTCATGCGCATCTAATTGTTTACAGAAGTACTTACATGTTTCGCAGCGTGTCGATCTGAAAACCATGGAAATCCAGACAGTAAAGACAAAAGAGACAGAAACTTCAAGCTCAAACAGCTGATTATATATTTATAGAAGTAAAACATTATTTCATAGATAAATGCCCATGTCAGTAGAGAAAAGCATGTGGCTTTGATTTGAATATGGGATGTAGTAAGATGTAGTGTATTAGAAACGATGCGAGAACTTTTTTCAGTCATGTCCACTACTCTTTGTCAGAATAATTAGATTGTGCTCAATTATATGTACTTAATTTAATGAAAGGTGGTTAATTTATTTTATTAATAAAATAAAAATGATGTGCACATACGTGTATGGATTGTATAAATGGGTTTGTGTAAAATACCGGTATAGATGTTTAGATATCCTCCAATACTGATTTTTGTTTTTAAATGCTACACTGTAATATAAAGTACATTTGCTCTGTATGTGTTCAGTCAGCCATTGTTTGATCATCATGAGATTCTGTAATGATAAGACTGAGCATTAACATAATTACATTGTTCTAATACTCTTATTCCAAGAGTGAGCATTAACATAATTACATTGTTCCAATACTCTTATTCCAAGACGTGAGCATTAACAAAATTACATTGTTTTAATACTCTTATTCCAAGCTTTTACAGATGTAGACCAAATGATATATATATAAGAAGAGTATTACATGAAAAACCTGCTTCAACATGCCTGTCACATTTGGTCTGTTACAATCTTAGAGAAGTGGTGTATTCAGCTATACCTAGGTAGTTGGTAGGATACCGCATCATTGACATCACATAATGGCATGCATGTATGGAATGGCCTAATCCCAAACAAAACCAATCTGATTAAATGTTGATGCAACACAATAAATACAGGTGTTTATAATAGACCCATTATGCACGTTATACAGTGCATCAACAAGCGAAAGAACTATTTTGTTTGTCAAAATATATCTACCAAAATATGAAGAATTTATAGAAGTTGTTCCTTAAAGTTTATAAATTATCTTTTGGACGTGTATGGGAGTAAGGTGATGTAGTAATTGTGACTGTGTGTTATTTTGTGTTCAATGTCTTTGTATTGTTAAGTAAAATTATGTCAGAACTGATGATTATTGATGTTTTATATTTTTGGTATATTGTGAATCATTCATCAACCCTTTGCAGAAAACACTGAAGTAAATCCCGTCTCGTATGACCTTGAAATGAAAGGTTGAAAAAGTTATACAGTATATCAGGTTATTTCCACACAATGTAAATTTTTCAAAATCAAATGTTTGCATTTGAAGTTTTTTTCAGTTTTTGTCTACATGCTATTACAATCTTGTGTATGAAATTATTCAATTGGTGACCAAAAGTTCACGTTCTGTATTTATAACTTTTCAATTTCCTCTTCTTGCAATCTTTCAAATAAAGCCAATTTTTCATGTTTGTGAGAATTACCTGATATATGCTATATTCTGTACATCTTTCTCTCTGGTGACCTTGGGGTTATGTATAGAAATTGGTGTTTAGTCAGTTTTCATACTTAGAAGTTACACTAGAATGATTAGCAATCCCATCAATCAGTCATGTTTACAGTAACTTAATCACTAATATGTCTTTTGGATTTCAACAAGCTTTAATTAGAACTCTATAGGTAAGGGACAAGCTCCAATGAAGAATGTATTGCTCAGTATGCCTTTAAACATCTCATTTGCAAGCAAATGTGTTTTTCGAAAACCTGAGGCCCATATAGAAGTATGTATCTTTCTGGTACTTCTTGTTTATCCGTTACTTTTTGATTTAAAGACAAATTGATATGTCTTGTGAAAAAAGGAAGAAGAGAGAATCAAAATTACTTTATAACAATATTTAATAACTAAAATCTCTCGGCAGATCTTGATGCTACAGTGCGCATCGTACCATACACTTTTGATGGGGGACTCCCTGTAAAGATAAACAGCACATTATGAGTAATGGAACAGAATACACTAATATAATGAATAATTAATCTAATAGAAATTATTAGAGGATATTTCATTGTTAACCCTTTCACCCCTATGTAACTTGAGTGAACTCGACCATGCATTAATTTGGAAGAGTCCATTAGGTCTACAGTGGTGAAAGGGTTAATAAGTTATCACTATCACTAGTGTACAACATATGGTACAAGATAATTATTTTAATCTCGACAATGTGCTGATTGTTACAAACATATCATTCTCAGGACAAGTTTTTGTCAAAATATAAAGTCAGAAATAAGACAAAATAGAATAACATGAATTTTTAAAGAGATTGAGGTGGTGACCAGCTTAACAATATTTCCTGAACACAATGCACTACACTCGACGGTATATCTACTTATTACATTAATTTATATAAAACTGAGTTTTCTAGAGGGCTCCTCAGACATTGGTAGTAATGTAGCAAGCACGTTAGGTAAAAACGTATGGGGATCCCCCTACTAGAGAAAACACTGCTGTAACTGTTCATAGTGTACTTACCTAATATCAAGCTGCATATTGCTGTTCTTGCAATTTTGATATTCTGGAAGGATCCTAATATGTGTATATGGCTGAAATGAAAACAATTCATCTGAAGTTTGACTTTACTTTTACATAACAACAAACGTTGCTCTGTTTTAACAAAAAGACAATTCAATAGTGAGTAAAAAATATATATACAGAATCAATAGAAGTGGGCAAATTTGTTCTCAAAGTCCATCACCTTACATTTTACAATATTTCTCAAAACAGAAACCAAAACAAGACTAATGTAAACTTATAACATGATTTTAATTGAAATTTTTGCTACATCTGACAAAATAGTTTGAATACTGTTTTAATATATATACAGAAGGTATACCCTGGTCACTTAATGCCATTTGAAAATATAAAACACATTATGAATGTAAACAGCAAATTTTCAATACGTATTAACATTTAAAAAAAGTTAACACAAACCTATCACCTCGTTATTTCATTGTTGCTATATATTCAAAATGTATCATTACTAATAACTGGTTTGTAAAGAGTCTTAAATGCTATATAAAATTCATACCTTTGAGACTGAAACTTACTTATTTGCCAAGACAATTCTTGTCTTGGTGACATTTTCTATGGTAAACTTCGTCTTTCCATTCTTGCCGGCTAATCTGCCAATGGCTCGAGCCAGGTGGTCTCCCTTGAGTGGCTTCACTGATAAAGATATGGAAAATTATTCTTAATGATAAATAATACCGAAGGAATGACATTTTAGGTTTACTTGGCAAAATATATTAAATGAAGTCATGAGGGTGACTAAAAAGTTAGTATACTCAGTATTTATATCATAATTATGTAATTTTAAAAGTCTGTTTACCTTCCTACTAGAGGGAATTAACTTTTTACTTACATATTTTTGCCTATTTGTTTTTAATCATTTTAACTCAAAACTTGTTAAATTGAAAGTTCATATGTGAATTTGTTTTAAAATAATTATAAAGGCCAAGAAGTATAATAATCTCCCTATGGTATTAATCATTAAAATTAGTGTAAATTAACATAACATATAAAATACTGGCTGTTTATAGTGAAATTAATCATTCTCCTATCGGCTGCAGAAGCAATCCCCACTTTATCCCAGTGTTTTCCCCCCTCAATCTAACCTCATTCCCAATAGAACTGAAACTTCATTTTCCTGCAGAAATTCCTAAATTAAACAGATTAAAAATCTCTCTCTACACTAGTACTGTTACATGCATTATATATTCACTTGTGATAAAGAGACATTATACTTAACAGTATACTGAATCTTGCTTCATTGATCAGGGAAAAACATACTTCAATATTCAAAGCAGGAAAGGTGAAATAATAGAAAAATAGAGCATTGATCATCATATGATATATGACTCTATCTTTATTCCCACAGTCATTGAAGTATAATGAGTACATGTAAGTTAAAAGGAGTGTGATAATCACACACACAGGACCCTATCCTACTCACCATCCTGTATTTGGAACGACTCTAAGTAAAGATCATCTAATCTTACTAGAGCAAGAGCATCCTGGAAAATGAAAAGAAAATCTGTATTAGAACAGATATTATTACATCAAAGTTAAGCAATGTGTCTACACTAACATCAGAATTTAACTAGCAAGACGTCTACACTTACATCAGAATTTAACTAACAAGACGTCTTCACTTACATCAGAATTTAACTAGGTATTTGAACTTACATCAGAGTTTAGCAAGGTGTCTACACTAACATGAAGTAAACTTCTAGATAAAGTTTAAAATCTTCCCTTCTAAATATAACCATGTACACTTAAAAGTCCACATTAGATAATTATATATAACAACTTCATCAGCTTCATAAGAAGTATCTTGCTTCCTAATCACTTTTAACACATAACTGGTGATATTTTACCTTACAGGACAGGTAACCTGTCTACTTTTAAAAATGTGATCATACATGTACTAAAATATATCCCTACAAGGAATATCAAACGGCATATGAAGCTGAAAACTGTGCCAGTTAAATGTGAGAGAATCATCTAGCTTGAAATTCTGTTTCTAGATATAGCAGTGATTTTTGGGACCCAGATATTTTAGTTTTTCATTGTGACTCTATTGAGATGCTTATCTTACTCTTAGTAATTGGAACTCATATACATTTTGAAAACGATGTTCAGCACTTGAAATGATTTGCTGGTTTATATATATATATAGTTTATAAAGATCAGGGTAACATATCTGCAGCTGAAACTTTAAGGACCTAGGAAATACTAACTTTCTGTGACATAAACGTCCATTCCAAAACAGTTTAACAATAAGAAACATGAAAAGTATATTTTATGTATGGTATTTAATCAATTACATGCATGTTTGAAAGGTACACAAGAACTGATGACACAATCACAAGACACTCCAGAATTGATGAAATTTATAATGTACACAAGGATGCATGCATCAATAACAATTCGGTAATTCACAGTATTAAGAAATAACCTTAATCAAAAATATTTATAGAGAAGTAACTCCAACAAAAAATCTTTTTTCCTTCAAGTTAATGCAACTATAAATATGTATTATATATATATATATATACGAGTATAAATGGATGTGGTGTGCCATTAGGCCAAATGTGTTTTCACTTGGTACATCGAATTTATAATCAACACCAAAACAAACTGATACTCACATCTACTTCATAACCTAAACAAAATGCCCGGACAAAGTCGGCAGCTTTCTGTAGAGCACTTATTTCCTTGGTGTCTTTACATGACTGCAAGACAGATTACATCATATTAAACAAAACAAACAACTAACATGATTTGTAATTAGAACCATGCATATAAATGATATGAATCCAAGCTGAAGTTAATTTGCTATTACATATAGTTTTACTTTGAATTAATATCATGAAAAATTATCATTGAATTGAACTTCTACATTATGTAATACATTTGTATATAATTTCATCCATTACCGACGTATAAACACATGTATACTTCGGGGATTAAACTATGGTATGTGCTTAAATGCAGCTTCTCAGAAAGTTTGTATCAACATCAACATGTAACTGTTTATAACGCAGTATCAAAAAAGAAAAATCTTCATCTGATTACCTTGATTTCTACATTTCTGGTTTTGAGATTAAACCTGATCTGCAGATGTAAGTGCTCCACTATTGGTGTGAATATTTTCATCCAGTTTTCTTTCAGAGGTGTGTAACGATTGTTAGGAACAGGTATTTTCCTCGTGTCTGTTTTTCCTCCCTGAAGAATAAATTGTGTACAATTAATTGAAATGAAAATAATGTATTCCAGTTTTGGCATTGGGCAGGCATCTGAATACAAAGTGTCAGGGATCAAAACCTACTATGGTCAAGTTCATGCGTCATGAACTGGTTTAGACACAAGGAAACTAAAGAATACTGACTATATTTAATTAAAGTTAGATTAGTTATAGGACTTATTTTCTAGTAATTTTCATACGATCATTAACTGGCTAACCAAGCCAACAAATATCTGCAAAAATTAAATAATCCCAAAAAGTCGGCCCTCATTCTGGATGAAATATGCATATATAGTCTTCTTTGTTTGTGTGTATAGAATATCATTTACTTGGCACTGGTAGTCTGCTTGTTATCAGTCTGTAATACCACGGAATTAGATTATCTCAGTCTGTGGTAATACTAACTGCTCATTTACAGTGCCATTCTACTCTAATAATAATGTATAAACTAGCTTTTGTCATGTAGACACAGATTTGTAAATGGCCAAACTGTAGTCTCAAACCAAATTTAAAAAAATAATATCATGAAGCCCACATAGTCCACTTATCATGTATATGCCATCTTTAGTGCTGATTGTTTTTTTTTTTAATTTGGATACAGCTGTTCATGTATGTAACATAACAGGGGTTATTATTGTACAAAATATCAACCATGGCCACCGTACGCTAAGTACTGTACTCTGCTATATAGCTACCTCACATGCACCATAAATTTTAGAATAAATGTAAAAAAAAAATCATTTTGACTTTGAAATACATCTTCAGGTGTTATTTGAACTTAAAAATGAATCATCTGTACATGTGGAAAATGTAAAGGTTGCATGGCTATGAGTTCTGAATTTATATCTAAAGCTACATCATTGAAATATTTGAACTACTTTTGACACCTTTGTTGATTTAAAAGTATTTTCACAAAAAGTGACCCAATTTGGTCCTACCTCGAGCTCCTCTTTATGATTAATATATGCGTTTGATTCTACAAATTATCAGTTTTTTGTAAATGGGCCTATTTCAGTATTTGTAGTACAAGTTTGACAAACCCTCTAGTTATTTTGTTTCAACCAAAATGTTCCAGATTTGATCATTTATTAACTTATATCTTTTCTTATATTTCATCGTTGTAGTAAATAAGATCAATCATGTAAAGTTAACTTATCCAGCAACTCATTGTACCCTATAGATTAAATATGTACACCGACATGTTTGAGTCAACTTACTGTCAATTTGTCACCACTTATGGGTGGAAAATTTGGCCGCTTTGGTGGAGATTCTGACGTCTCCATCGTTTGTGGTTGTGATTCAGAAGATTCTTCCTGAACTTTTCGTTTCCTTGTCCTACGTTTGATCTGTTTAAATTCGTCATCTTCACTGGATTTTGATGTTTGAAGTGAAGAGACACTTTCTGTTGATGCTGCCATTTTTCACGTGGTGGTGTAAGAGGAAGTACAAAGTACGCATGCGTAGTGAAACAAGAAAACATCAACATGGATCAGAGAGGTTGGAGGTGGACTGATGCACACTTCTGCAGTTTACCTTCACAGGCAGCATTGTACGGTATAACAACCACACCACAAACAAACGTCTACACACATGCCAAAGTCATAGAGCCGGAGGGGTCAAACAAGTTACTGGTAGCGTCACTTACAGGGAAGATTGTGTCGGTAGAATACCAGAGAAATGCTAAAAAACTGAAACCGTCCACAAAGGAGGTTCAGTTTACCTACATTCCGGGTAAGGCGGTCATACTGGTGTACATGCATGCGTACATACATTTAATACTGTATCATTTAAACTCGATTATCGAAAAACTGTCATACGAAAATGAGAGCGGCTCTTTTTTTTTATAAAAAAATATAGGGCATGCATGTGGGTTCATCTAAATGTATATAATGTGCAAGGAGTATATCAAAGACTGTCACTATTTTATACGTCAGTACATACAGCATTTTTTGTCTTGATAGTTTTTTAATTGATTAGGAACTAATACAAACTGCATCAAATACATTGCAATAGGTAAGCAATGATTTTCTTTTTAAATCTTCAGGTGATGCAGAATTGGTTTCCTTGGATGTTGCCACAAGAACAAGTCAACAAGGCAGTGGACTTCTTATAGGTATCACCTTCCTGAAGCAGACCCAGGTAATCTCATAGGTATCACCTTCCTAAAGCAGACCCAGGTAATCTCATAGGTATCACCTTCCTAAAGCAGACCCAGGTAATCTCATAGGTATCACCTTCCTAAAGCAGACCCAGGTAATCTCATAGGTATCACCTTCCTAAAGCAGACCCAGGTAATCTCATAGGTATCACCTTCCTAAAGCAGACCCAGGTTACATCTCATAGGTATCACCTTCCTAAAGCAGACCCAGGTAATCTCATATGTATAACCTTCCTGAGGCAGACCCAGGTAATCTCATGGGTATAACCTTCCTGAGGCAGACCCAGGTAATCTCATAGGTATCACCTTCCTAAAGCAGACCCAGGTAATCTCATAGGTATCACCTTCCTAAAGCAGACCCAGGTAATCTCATAGGTATAACCTTCCTAAAGCAGACCCAGGTAATCTCATAGATATCACCTTCCTAAAGCAGACCCAGGCACTCTCATAGGTATCACCTTCCTAAAGCAGACCCAGGTAATCTCATAGGTATCACCTTCCTAAAGCAGACCCAGGTAATCTCATAGGTATCACCTTCCTAAAGCAGACCCAGGTACTCTCATAGGTATCACCTTCCTAAAGCAGACCCAGGTACTCTCATAGGTATAACCTTCCTGAGGCAGACCCAGGTACTCTCATAGGTATCACCTTCCTGAGGCAGACCCAGGTAATTTCATGGGTATAACCTTCCTGAGGCAGACCCAGGTACTCTCATAGGTATCACCTTCCTGAGGCAGACCCAGGTAATCTCATAGGTATCACCTTCATAAAGCAGACCCAGGTAATCTCATAGGTATAACCTTCCTAAAGCAGACCCAGGTACTCTCATAGGTATAACCTTCCTGAGGCAGACCCAGGTACTCTCATAGGTATCACCTTCCTAAAGCAGACCCAGGTAATCTCATATGTATCATGGTACCCGCTTGAATATTTGTTATCTTAGTAGAAGATTTCCTCGATTATTACTGCTACAATGAAGTTTATTTTGTTGACAGTAAACATGCATTTAATATGAGTATGAGAAAATTAAGTATCAGTTGTCTTGTTAAGTCTTCAGACCATTTAATAGACATTGTATAGATGAATTTCGTTATCTTTCATATCAACCAGCTGTCGGTTGTCAATTATGAATTGATTCAATTAATAAATATATATTTGTTTTTTTGATCAGACTGAAGATGGGGAACACACATGTATGCAGTACCTTAACCTGTATTCCTTTAGTCAGTCTGAGGAAGACAGCCATTACGTAGACAGTGTGGCCCGTACGTGTGAATAAATTGAAGCTAAATACAGATGTGAAACTACTATATTTCTGTCCAAGAGGATAATTCAGGCATTAGTTTTGTATTGTCAGCACTAATTTTCATTATCCATAGCACAGTTTTCTTTTTTCTTCTGAAGTTTCTTTCCCATTATATTATGCATCATTTCCAAAATCTTTGGCAGATTTTGGAACACTCTTGTTTTCACAAAATCGTTTTTTCATTAAAATAGCACAAATATAACCTTTGCAATTTCTTTCTTTTAATGAATTGTGAAAAAAGGGAGGTTTTCATTTCTTGTTTACACAAATCTTATGTTGACCTACATTTCAAATTTATGATGTTTTAATTACATTAAATTATCAATATACTCCTATTTACATAAAATAAATCTTGATCAGGATGGGGTCCGATGCTCTTGTTAGTCCATAATGTAAGATTTTTTTGATTTTTTCCACAGAAACATGTGTTACATTAGAATTGGACTTCATGCCATACCAGTTGATCCACACAGAGTAAGGATATCTATATACCTAGGCCTGACTGTTCAAGTGCTTTGTTCAGTTTATAATAAACTTATAACTTTGGAAAGGAATGTCTATTTCTAATGATATTGGAATAATATACATATTACAAATGTTATTTCCATTTTGATGCTGTGCCTTGTATGATTAAAATGTGATTAAACCAGAGTGATTAGAGCTATTTAACATACATACTATTGATTAATCAGGGGATTAAGATTGTAACAATTATGTCATGTCAAATTGTCCTCCTCCAACATCATGTCTATATCTACATGTATATCTTTAGAAGTAAAAATCTAAGACTCTTCAGTTTTTCTTCCTTTTTCTTCTTCGTAAATCAGTAACCTATCAACTTGTTTTTTCTGATCTATAATATATTCAGATATTAAGGATTAATTGATCAGTGACACTTAATGCCTCATCTATCAGGTGTAATACTGGAACTGTAGTCTGTGTCACTGACAACATTGTGTCTGGTTTGTAGGTGTGTAACGGATGACGACATGGAGACTGTGTTCCTTCTCAGTGGTAATGACCAAAAAATCCACATGTACCGAGAGGACCATGTAAGTGTACAGAGCTTCACAACTATTTTGTTGTTAAGGAATAGTATTAAAAAGTTTATAGTCCATTGACTTGTATATTGTTGAATAAAGTTTTAAAGGTTGTAAAGATGATATAGATATTCTATTTATATATCGATATTTCATTTTACTAAGGTGGCCCCAGTGTTGAGGTTCAAAGAAGAGGACATAGAGAATTATTTCCCTGAGCTTTGTTCTCCTGGCAGCAGGTGAGAATATAAAGTACACATTCTTTCAGATTTATAGGTCACCTGAGACAAAGTCCATAAACAATTTACATTTTCGACTTCTTCTCCAAAACCCCGAAATCAATTTCAATGAAATTTTGCAGAAACCTTCCATGACCAAATGTCAACAAATGAGTGGCTGGTTTGGTCTCCAGCCCCCAGGGGCCTGAGGGGCGGGGCCAAAAAGGGTTGAATTGACTGAAATTTCAAAAATCTTCTTCTAAAGACCCAGATATGGAAGAATCAAAAACTCTTCATAGATGGAAGGGTCTTAAGGTGCTTTACCAAAATTGTGAATTTCTTGACCCTGGGGTCTCTTTTTTCCCCTGGGGAGGGGGTAAACTTTACTAAAGTTTATATAGGGAAATCACATTTTGGACCAACATTTGTTTAATTAATTTCCATTGGAAGTAAGTAATTCAATTTGGGTTAGCATTATCAGTATCAGTACCCCCTGGGGAAGGAGGGGCAAAATTTATTATGGTTTATAATGGCAAATGATACTTTGAATATTACATGTTAATAACTTGATTGGAACTATAACCCTGAATTGACTGTTTGATACTTTGAACATTTTGTGCCAACCCTACCCCAAGTGCTGTAGAGTGGGGCCCAAAGGAGTCAGTGTGCTAAAATTTCTTCATTAGGGCCCCATATCGGAGATACGGGTGCCCTATAGTAATCACTCTGTCTGTCTGTCCGTCCGTCCACACATTTTGTTCCTGGCTGATAACTTTGGTATTAATTGACCGATGTACAAGAAACTTTGTCAAGATGTTAAGTTCACAAAAATACACATTAAGGTAAAAAGTCAAGGTCAAAGGTAAAGGTCATAAGGTTCAAAGGTCAAGGTCAAATTTTATATCTTTTCACTGATGAACATTTTGTTATGACATGATGAAGCAAAGTTGATCAGAATTAAACAAGGAGTCAACTGACCAAATGTCAAGGTCACTTGGTCAAAGGTCGAGGTTAAATTTTGTATCATTTCACTGGTGAACATCTCGTTTTGACACTTTGAAGCAATGTTGCTCAGAATTAAACAAGGAGTCAACTGGCCAAATGTCAAGGTCACTGGGTCAAAGGTCAAGGTTAAATTTTGTATCATTTCACTGGGGAACATCTCGTTTTGACACTTTGAAGCAATGTTTCTCATAATTAAACAAGGAGTCAACTGGCCAAATGTCAAGGTCACTTGGTCAAAGGTCGAGGTTAAATTTTGTATCATTTCACTGGTGAACATCTCGCTATGACACTTTGAAGCAATGTTTCTCATAATTAAACAAGGAGTCAACTGGCCAAATGTCAAGGTCACTGGGTCAAAGGTCAAGGTCAAATTAGTTACTGATAGTAGTCTTAGAATTGTTGATGTGTGATGGCTGTAACGAGATCCTCGTGTTTCTATAATGGTTCAGTGTGTTTTGTTCCTTCCCTGTTGTAGAGGTTCTGAAGGGTTGGGAGGGGATGTTTCTATGGTGGTTCAGTGTGTTTTGTACCTCCTTGTTGTAGAGGTACTGAAGGGCTGGGAGGGGATGTTTCTTTAGTGGTTCAGTGTGTTTTGTACCTTCCCTGTTGTAGAGGTTCTGAAGGGTTGGGAGGGGAGATGAAGCAAAGTTGATCAGAATTAAACAAGGATTCAACTGACCAAATGTCAAGGTCACTGGGTCAAAGGTCAAGGTCAAATTTTATATCTTTTCACTGATGAACATTTTGTTATGACATAATGAAGCAAAGTTGATCAGAATTAAACAAGGATTCAACTGACCAAATGTCAAGGTCACTGGGTCAAAGGTCAAGGTTAAATTTTGTATCATTTCACTGGGGAACATCTCGTTTTGACACTTTGAAGCAATGTTTCTCATAATTAAACAAGGAGTCAACTGGCCAAATGTCAAGGTCACTGGGTCAAAGGTCAAGGTCAAACTTTACCTCTTTTCACTGATGAACATTTTGTTATGACATAATGAAGCAAAGTTGATCAGAATTAAACAAGGATTCAACTGACCAAATGTCAAGGTCACTGGGTCAAAGGTCAAGGTCAAATTAGTTACTGATAGTAGTCTTAGAATTGTTGGAATGTGATGGCTGTAATGAGATTGTCGTGGGCACGTATGGCCAGGTAGAGTACTGAAAGTAGTCTTTAATTGTTGAAGTGTGATGGCTGTAACGAGATCCTCGTGGGCACGTATGGCCAGGGAGAGTACTGAAAGTAGTCTTTAATTGTTGAAGTGTGATGGCTGTAACGAGATCCTCGTGGGCACGTATGGCCAGGGAGAGTACTGAAAGTAGTCTTTAATTGGTGATGTGGGATGGCTGTAACGAGATCGTCGTGGGCCCGTATGGCCAGGTAGAGTACTGAAAGTAGTCTTTAATTGGTGATGTGGGATGGCTGTAACGAGATCCTCGTGTTTCTATAATGGTTCAGTGTGTTTTGTTTCTTTTCTGTTGTAGAGGTACTGAAGAGTTGGGAGGGGATGTTTCTAGAGTGGTTCAGTGTGTTTTGTACCTTCTCTGTTGTAGAGGTACTGAAGGGTTGGGCGGGGATGTTTCTATAATGGTTCAGTGTGTTTTGTACCTTCTCTGTTGTAGAGGTACTGAAGGGTTTGGCGGGGATGTTTCTATAGTGGATCAGTGTGTTTTGTACCTCTATAGTGGTTCAGTGGGTTTTGTAACTCCCTGTTGTAGAGGAACTGAAGGGTTGGGAGGGGAGGTTTCTATAGTGGTGCAGTCACTTAAGTGTGTTTTGTACCTTCTCTGTTTTAGAGGTACTGAAGGGTTGGGCGTTATGTTTCTATAATGGTTCAGGGTGTTTTGTACCTCCTTGTTGCAGAGGTACTGAAGGGCTGGGAGGGGATGTTTCTGTAGTGATTCAGTGTGTTTTGTTCCTTCTCTGTTGTAGATGTACTGAAGGGTTGGGGGGGGATGTTTCTATAGCGGTTCAGGATGTTTTGTACCTCCCTGGTGTAGAGGTACTGAAGGGTTGGGAGGGGATGTTTCTATAGTGGTGCAGTCACTTCAGTGTGTTTTGTACCTTCCCTGTTGTAGTGGTCCTGAAGGGTTGGGAGGGGATGTTTGACAGCCCGATTACATGTGTGAAGATCTTCAACCCAGACAACCAGGTCTCCTTTCCTGAGTTTATGCAAGACACAGAAGGTTAGTTTACTAGTAACTTTTGAACACTGTTAAATAAACTTATACCTTGTTAAATATAATTTTGTAAACTTTGAATTAGCTTTGAAAAAATTATGTTGTTTAAAATCCTACTAACAGCTAAGGTCATATAAGGACCTGCCTCCATGTGTGTTGTGTAAGCGTGCATGTGTTTGTGTACTTGCCTCCTTGTGATAGCGCAGATCTGATGCCATTTTAGTGCTACCTTACAGAAATATCATGACAAAGCACCCACCAAAGCTATGCTGCCCAGTCACATTATACTGACATCGGGTGAACTAGTTGTTGGCATTTCCATAAATGCTGAACGTTTATCAGGGAATAACAACTAACATTTTTAGGACTTTGGTATGTCCCGGCATGGAGACAGAACCCATTGTCTTTCTCACTTGGGCGAATGTTCAACATTAAAATCAAAAGTGAGATATTACCAAGCAAGGCACTAGGAAATAAAAGGTAGTTAGGGGTAGAGAAAAATACAAAGACCCCAACTGTTGCAATTAGAAATGATGTGTTATTACAGTTGTTCAAAAGAAGTATGAGGTCATATGCCTGGTATAACTTGTATGCATACAGATTTCCTTAAGTTGCATTTGTGCATTTCTTGATTTCAGGAAAAAACAATTCTGTGCAAGAGGAATCCCCTGCTGTGTACAATCTGCTGGTGATGAGTTCTCTGGAACCGACAGTAGTCTATAGGTTATCTAAACATTTGTTCTTCCTTCAATTTTAAAATGGCCTGAAAGGTATCAGATGATAAACAGTACTTTGTTTACATGATGCATTAATCACACCATATTACTCGGCATTACAAATCTGAGACCTCTACTGTCCATCCCTTCTGACTGGCTGTTACATATGTTATATGGCTATCATGCTCTTTTTAATGATAAATGTATATACTTAGTGGGTAATTGTACTTGTTAGATTATAGATGTGTGAAACCCATATTTCTCAATTCTGAATTCCAAGATGATTTCTATAAGGTGTCTGCTTGGTGATATGGATCATGGTAAAACACATATATGGCCCTTGCTGACCTGTAAGTGTTCTGGTAAAAGACACATTCCAATAAATAGGATGTCTATTTTTTTTCTATGGTTAAGTAAGTAAAATGTGAACATATTTGCTTGCCAAAAATAGTTTGCCATATACTAATGTCATAGTTTGTAATTATACATGGGCAATAATTCAGTGAAATTTATCAGGGTTTAATGCTTAGTCATCTGCCATCATGAAGGTCCGATATCAGTTTGGTCCACTGTTTAGTGGAAATAAGATTTGTTTATGGATAAGCGCTACCTTTTTGCATATATTAACACTAGGCTTGTAAACTTTATTTCAGAAACATCCTTGCCAATGGTCTAGACAATGCCTTGTACTTGCCTGGTAGCTGTAACTACGACATCCCTCTGTGCGCCTGTGTGGCTGACATAGATTTCGATGGCTGTAACGAGATCCTCGTGGGCACGTATGGCCAGGTAGAGTACTGAAAGTAGTCTTAAATTGTGGATATGTGATGGCTGTAACGAGATCGTCGTGGGCACGTATGGCCAGGGAGAGTACTGAAAGTAGTCTTAAATTGTGGGTGTGTGATGGCTGTAACGAGAACCTCGTGGGCACGTATGGCCAGGGAGAGTACTGAAAGTAGTCTTAAATTGTTCATGTGTCATGGCGGTAACAAGATCCTCGTGGGCACATATGGCCAGGCAGAGTACTGATAGAAGTCTTAGAATTGTTGATGTGTGATGGCTGTAACGAGATCCTCCTGGGTACGTATGGCCAGGTAGAGTACTGAAAGTAGTCTTAAATTGTGGATGTGTGATGGCTGTAACGAGATCCTCGTGGGCACGTATGGTCAGGTAGAGTACTGAAAGTAGTCTTAATTGTTGATGTGTGATGGCTGTAACGAGATCCTCCTGGGTACGTATGGCCAGGGAGAGTACTGAAAGTGGTCTTGAATTGTGGATGTGTGATGGCTGTAACGAGATCCTCGTGGGGACGTATGGTCAGGTAGAGTACTGATAGTAGGCTTAGAATTGTTGATGTGTGATGTCTGTAACTAGATCCTCGTTGGCACGTATGGCCAGGTAGAGTACTGAACGTAGTCTTAGAATTGTTGATGTGTGATCGCTGTAACGAGATCCTCGTGGGCACGTATGGTCAGGTAGATTACTGATAGTAGTCTTAGAATGGTTGATTTGTGATGGCTGTAACGAGATCCTCCTGGGTACGTATGGCCAGGGAGAGTACTGATAGTAGTCTTAGAATTATTGATGTGTGATGGCTGTAACGAGTTCCTTGTGGGCACGTATGGCCAGGTAGAGTACTTAAAGTAATCTTAGAATTGTTGAAATGTGATGGCTCTAATGAGATTGTCGTGGGCACGTACGGCCAGGTAGAGTACTGAAAGTAGTCTTAGAATTGTTGAAATGTGATGGCTGTAATGAGATTGTCGTGGGCACGTATGGCCAGGTAGAGTACTGAAAGTAGTCTTAGAATTGTTGATGTGTGATGGCTGTAACGAGATCGTCGTGGGCACGGATGGCCAGGTAGAGTACTGAAAGTAGTCTTAGAGTTGTTGATATGTGTTGTTTTGTTGTTGTTTAGTATACACAATTTTACTCAATTTGAACTGTTGGAGGGTAGTCAGTTTAAACAATCAATCTTTCAACTGAATACTGAGCTACATTAAAAGATATATGTGACAAAATTTATGAAGAGTAAGAAATATAGTTATCAGAGTTAATACTCATTTTTACAGGAGCTATTAGCTTACAAGTTGATGCAAGAGGACGACCAAATACCAATGCTTCAAAAATCTCCATCTATAATGAAAAGCAAAATTTCATCACCAGCAAACATAAGCAGTTATATTGGAGGAGAACCAGCCGCATCCCCACGACAGCGAAACCTGACAGGAAGCGGACATACAGGCAGAGACCCCCGGGGGGCCATTACTTTGCCTAGAAAGGCAAAATCCCAGGAGAACCTCTGTTCCTCATTACCCAAGAACCAAGATACTATACTGAGGGGAGAATTGTCTGAGGAAGACTTAAATGAGACAGTATCAGACAGAAAGCTTTGTTACAAACTGCTCTGGCAAAGAAGCTTTGCAAGTCCAGTAGTTGGAGTAGACAGAGTAGACATAATGGGAGATGGAATGGACGATATGGTTGTGGTCACTCTGCGTGGGGTTCATGTCATACAGGTAATTATATAGTATACTCCTACTTTCGATATGTATACCTTTATTTTATATACTTATACTTTACGTCCCTTCACCTTTATCTTACATACCTGTAATTTTGTCTCTGCAGCCGGAGCTGGGGGAGGTTGCCCAGGTGTGTCTAGAGCGACTGAGGAACCTTGCTTTATCTCGAGAGAGTAATGAAGAAGACATTGAGGGACACATTCAGTTGAACATTGACAGTCAGTTGACGACAGAGAATTGTTCACCAGAAACCATCACGTAACAGTAGGATCATTGATTGTGTTATAAAATTCTTAACAAATCTGGAACTGTTTTTTATTTATTTCAAATTTCATGTTCACAATATGGTGTCACTTGTTGAGGTAACTTACCATCTTACTTAATTAGGGCCCCGTATCGGAGATACGTGTGCCCTTTATAGGGACCACGGAACCAAATCAAAAATAGATTGTTGGTTTTTCCCTTTTGGGCAGAAGATTTAATAGGAAGGTGAATGCCTCGGGGCCTGCTGGTTGGATATTTAGGTGGCAGAAGTTTCAAAAGTTTTATGTGTGGGTTGTAACAATATGCATATTTTATTTTTTTTTAATTTTTCAAGTCTGCTTGTCTGGGTGAGTTTATTAAGTGTGTAATTTGTTGTAAATTTTGGTCGATTTTTGGTGCCGAATTCAATACAAGATGGCGACCCCCATATAAAAAAAGTTCAAATAGGCAGAATTTACAGTTGTGTGAGATGATTTTCTTCAAAGTGAGGGCCGGTAAACCAGTGTGGATAACCCCATTTAATCAGGACAGTGGTAAACGTTAACACTATCGTCTATAGAAAATCATTTGGTTCTGCAGTCCCTATAGTTCTGTCCGTCTGTCCGTCTGTCCGTCCACAAATTTTGTTCCTGGCTGATAACTTTGGTATTAATTAACAGATTTACATGAAACTTGGTCAAGATGTTCAGTTCATAAAAATACACACTAAGGTTAAAGGTCAAGGTCAAAGGTTAAGGTAATTAGGTTCAGAGGTCAAGGTCAAATTTAGCATCTTTTCACTGATGGACATTTTGTTATGACATGATGAGGCAAAGTTGATCAGAATTAAACAAGGAGTCAATTGACCAAAGGTCAAGGTCACTGGGTTAAAGGTCAAGGTAAAATTTTGTATCTTTTCCCTGATGAACATTTTGTTATGACATTATGAAGCAAAGTTGGTTGGAATTTAACAAAGAGTCAACTGATTTTAGGTAAATTTGTCACTGGGTCAAAGGTCAAGCTCAAATTTAATATCTTTTTACTGGTAAACATTTGTTTATGACTTTTTGAAGCAATGTTGGTCGGAATTAAACAAGGAGTCAATTGACCAAAGGTCAAGGTCACTGGGTCAAAGGTCATTTAACAAAGAGTCAACTGACTTAAGGTCAAGGTCACTGGGTCAAAGGTCAAGGTCAAATTAGTATCTTTTCATTGGTGAATATTTCGTTATGACACTCTGAAGCAATGTTGGTCGGAATTTAACAAGGAGTCAACTCACTTAAGGTCAAAGTCACTGGGTCAATGTGAAGGCCAAATAACTATATCTTTTTTTACTGATTAACATTTTTTTTATGTTTTTATGAAGTTAAGTTGTTCAGAACTTAACAAGGCGTCAACTGACCAAAGGTCCAGGTTACAGGGTCCAAAGGTTCAGGGTCAAGGTCAAGTTTTGTATTTTTCACTGATGAAAACTTGACGAAGTAGATCTCTGACTTGGACCCTTGCTCTTGATGGGGGAGGTTTTTAAGGTGAAATAAAACAAATCAAAGCTTACAAATGAGTATTGCACCCATATTTACATTTCTGTTAGCCCAGCAAATATGGAGGTGGAAGGAAACAAGACTCGCATCATAGTACATGTAAAATGTAAATTTTGCTTCCTTGCGATTTATTTTGAAACTAAATGTCAAACGTCAAGCTCAGCTATATGGGCAGATGGGGTTTTTAATGATTAAGGGGGATATATTGCCACAAGACGGGGCCCTTACTGACCTGTCAGTGTTCTAGTTGTCGTATATATCCTCTTCAATGTAGTATGTTTTGCCGATCAGTATCCCCTTCACCACATTTCCTTTTGGTCCATCTTTGATACTTCAGGGATAACACTTTCGCTCTCTGTATCCCTAGAGTATGTCATAGCAAAATTCAAGTCACGTGGCTGGCCATTTGATTGGTCTACGGTAAAAAAAAACACCTGACCAATCGCTAGGCTGATGCCTGTCCTTTGAAGATCACAGAGGAGCGCCACCCCTTCAAAGCCGTTACGCGACTGACATATTCTGTTGATGTACATCAAAGTATCAAACTAGTCTTCTGGTCACATCCAGATGGTGGTATACACTGGGACTTGATTTTGCTATAACATATTCCAGGGGTGCAGAACAGAAAGCGAAAGTGAGTGTAACCCCTGTTGCATCATGCATGCTTCGGGTCTGTTCTTTCTGTAAGTTTCACTATACATTTATCTGCCAAATACAAGGACAAGTTTGAAAAAGGAACATTTAACTCTCTTCTGTAAGAATTTATTTTCTTCATAAATTTATTGTTACAGAATTACTGAACTCAACGTGTGATGTTCTTGAAAAAAAACATGTTTGTATTTTGTTGAAAAATTCAAAGGAAAATAAATCTTTCACGTGATTTAACTCGGAAAAATCTGGTCAAATAGAAATTAGAAAAACAATTGCCACTGCTAAATCGGAACAGAAAGTCGATACGACAATACGACAACAGGGATTGCTTGGGATACCAAAACAAAGGAAAGACACTGGACCCGCCCCAGAAATAAATGCCAAAAGCGACATCAGATGAGAAGAGATAGTTTCCTGGCCACATTTAGACAGGCGTCACAATGTCTTCCGTTCAATACAGGAACATAACCAAGTCATTATTGATCTAAAACCGAATAAACAAGACTGAATCATTGTAGACGCTAAATACCCTATTCGGAAATTAGGCCATGATGACTGCAAAACCGACGTAGGTCACAGTCACGCAGGTTAAAAAACCATAATAAGTCCACTTGTTACCATCGAATATCTATTCAGTAAACAGTTATATGAGTCCCCACATTTGCAGTATTAAGTAGGACAGCTGCACTTTATGTGCAGACGGACTAGCTTGTCATTCGCAAAGAAAACAAATCCATTTTGCCTGCCTAGATACATTTGAATGGAGGTGAAGAAAAAAAGTCTGGTATCTCTAATTTGAAGTTCTAGAGGACAAAAATGAGTTGCTATACATGTGGTTACTAGTCTATAAAACACTAAGCATGAGCAATATAATTGAATGTGAAAATAAGGCTGACGCAGGTAATGGCGAAAGTGATGCAACGTTATCTGATTGAAATACCGTAAGTCTGTTCGAATGTTCTCCTACCGAAAATAAATGATTTTGACTATAAATGTTAACGACGAAGTGTTCAATTTAAATTCCAATCTTGAGCTCTTCTTGTGATGCGAGACACTTATTAGATAATTTCTTCTATCGTGATAAATGACGCACTAACATAGCAAAATGTGGATGCTCAACCTCAATCCGAACCTCAATGCAAGAAAGATTGAGGTTCGGGTTGAGGTTCGGTTTGAGGTTCGATTTGAGGTTCGATTGAGGCAGATTGAGGTTCGATTGAGGCAGATTGAGGTCGATTGAGGCAGATTGAGGTCGATTGAGGTTCGATTGAGGCAGATTGAGGTTCGATTGAAGTCTGATTGAGGTTAGATTGAGGCAGATTAAGGCAAATTGAGGTTCGATTGAGGCAGTAATCCTTATAAAAGGCATCATCTTACTAGAGGTTTCAGTTGTATTACATTGCTCAGAAACAGTTGACCTCGTCAATACTGGAAACATCGACGTCTGTGAAGTCTCTGCCAACAGTGTTACCTGTCGTATAGGATTAACGCAGCAACTCATCGTCAAGAAAGTCAAGGGTGAGCTGAAAGTTCGTTAACGAGAAGATGGAAAAAGTTAACAAATAACTGTCGACTTCTTCAAAATATCGCTGTTTCAATCGGAAAGCATACAGTGCGTTTATTTGTTTCTGGAAAATTAAAATGTCATGCGAAACCGACAGTGTTTGTCATACCGTAAGCGCTATACAGCCCCGTCATCCATCATTGGTCCAGTGTTGTAATTGTGTGGATACATTTACACATTGGCCTAAACATCATCATCATTCTCTGTATCAACTCGCAAGTAACGGGTTTTTCTATACTAACATTGAAGACTGTGTTACTTGTTTTATGTGCGGTGTTTCGTTAAAGCACTGGAACTATTTTGACGATATCACAACGGAGCCCGCGAGACGGTCAAAAGATTGTCTGTTTCAACAGATGATGTTCGTCATTTAAATACAACATTTTGAATTACGTTATCATGATTTAAGATCTTATCAATACGTGCATGTGATAATGGAATTAAACACAGACTTGTTTGTTAAAAGACTGCAAAACTATCGGATTTGAAAAACCGAAGAAAAGGCCTATCGGAGAATTATAAAAAATCTACTGTGTCTCTCTTATGCATACGTTGTAAAATCAACAATAACAGAACTATTCGTATGTTTAGGCTTAGTCCGAATTATTCTGACGTTTGATCGACTTTTGTTATATCGGACTGTCAGACCGATATAAAAAAGTCTATCAAATGTCAGAATAATTCGGACTAGTTTAGGCTGTGAGAATCGTCGAGCTAGTCAACATGAACATGAACGTCTGATGTATTCTAGTGCTGTTATTATAGACTTACATTTTGACGAAGCATTAACTTAAACAAATCATTTAGAAGTGGAAAAGGCTTGGCGTGAGTTTGCCATTCAATCTTGTATACCTTCAGACGCATTACAACGTCTGATGCAAGACGAACGTTTAAGGGACGAGAACTACGTAAAACAAAGTTATTGAATAAAACAACAAACACAAGATTGACAGTAATGGACACGGTGTTTTATTAATCAAGCAATGGGCGTCACTTACTATACTGCCCCCATATGCATCAAGAGGGCGTCAATAACTGCCGGCATATGTTTTATATTTTTTTCAAGCAAGGGGCGTCACTTACTGTCCACATATGCATCAAGAGGGCGTCACTCACTGGCCGCATATGTTTTATTTTTTCCAAGCAATTGTCAATTAAATTAATTAAAGTCTTTTGTGATCAAGGAGAATCCAATGATCATAAAGTACTTATGTCAATCCACGTATATGCAAATAAAATGTATTTATAATTGTCAAAATGAACTGATGTTAGCAAATTCCTGCCACATGGTACATGAAAAGGACTCACCTTTTCATGTACCACCGCCACAAAGAAATGTAGTGGGGGACAAAGCTAACAGCAGGAACACCACAGGACCACCGTGGCCATTGGCCAACAATTCTTAAACATGTGTATGTAACTCACAGAAAATTCACTCAACTCAATATAAAGGGGAAAATCCTGTCCCCCCCCAGAACAATATCCTTTCAATCCCTCCATGTAAACAGTTGAGTAAACTATCATTGCCTATGTTGCTAGTGTGCTCTTTATCTTTGTCAAATAGTTCCTGCTGGCCCACTCTCATGTCGGGATATTCATTTTAGAAATGGCTATTTTACCATGTTGAACTGAATTCAGGTCAGTGAATTAAAAAAGTTCGAATATATTAGTAGACCCATTAGTAAAACCAGAGGTATTACAGGTTTTCAGTTCTGTATTCCTGTTAGCGTAATTTGGCACTTGTCTATTGATACAAATAAGTCGTCCCTAAGGTAACAGTTTGTAAGATTTAACCCTATACGATAGGTTATACTGTGTCTATTGTTATAAATAAGTCGCCCCTAAGGTAACAGTTTGTAAGATTTAATCCTATACGATAGGTAATACTGTGTCTATTGTTATAAATAAGTCGCCCCTAAGGCAACAGTTTGTGAGATTTAATCCTACACGATAGGTAATATTGTTGGCAGAGACTTCACAGATGTCGATGTTTCTTGCATTAACGAGGTCGATCTGTTTCTGAGCCATGTATTACACTGCCTCAATCGAACCTCAACCTTTAACATGACGTCTAGAAAGTTTTACTGGGCAGAGGAATGTGATATTTGTATCAATCTGAAGATTGACACTAATTTTATTGTTTGTTCAGTCTGTAAAAACGAACTTTGTCAGAATTATTTCATGAACTTGACAAGTCCAGAGTGTCCAGATTATAGAGGGCCACTCTACCTGACAGAGGAAATGGTGACGGAGGCCTGACACAACTTTAATCTAATATTTTATGATGTGGATGCTTTTCGAATAGTCGAATACTACTATGTTGTCGAGGATGAAGAAGACATCTATGGATACATGGAATTGGGGGATTTCAACAATCCCTCTTCTAATGGAGCAAGATGTATCAACCACTCATTTGCCTGGAATTACATCGAGCAACAATAACAACACTGGTTATACTGGCCAATAGTATTTAAATGAGGTAAGCCGGTGTCTTAAATTTTAAAAACAACTATGAAGTAATGTGCAGTCTAGCTGTCTTTGTATTTGATCTACATTGCACATAATTTCGATAACCGCCTTGTAAGCTATTGTTTGTTATTAAGCGTTAAATCATTAAATTTTACATGATAAACGGCCAACAGTATATACAAAGTATACCTGTAGTTTGGTGTTTTTGGTTTAAAATGTAAGTTGTAAAATGCCAATGCTCAGCCCGCAAGTTTTGTGGGGCTCATTTTTCTGTGAGTCTCATTTTGGGAGTATCTTGATGTAAGGAACTATCCAGCCCGCAAGTTTTGGTTTTTGTGAGGCTCATTGTTTCTGTGAGTAAGTTTTATGAGGTTCATGTTTCTGTGAGTCTCAATAACGAAGCTATTATAAAAGGCATCATCTAACCAGAGGTTTTAGTTGTATTACATTGCACAGATACCTCGTTAGTGGTGAAAACATAGATTGAAGTACGATTGAGACCATCAAGCTTATGATACTAATTGTACTTAGGGGTGGGGGTAGGAAAGTATAGGCGGACATTATACCATTATACAATCTCATTAGGCGTCTGTCCAGATGCTTCTGATTCAATACTAGTTTATAAGAGAGTCTCCCTACTTCAATTACCACTTGAATCTCGCAAACTGCTAAGGTCCTCTACATGTTATACAAATAGACCTCGTTAGTGGTGGAAACATAGATTGAAGTACAATTGAGGCACCGCTTGAATCTCGCAAACTGTTACCTTATGAATGACAACGTAACAATAGACATATAACAATATAGATGTAGAACTGACAGAAACACAGATACCAATCGTACATGTTTATTAATACCTAAAGCAAAGATTAAGTGACCTAAATAGTTACTTGTATAATGTCCGTCCATGCCTAAGTCGGATTAGAGTCATTACCTAGATAACAGGTTTTCGTCACCCTTTATATGAACAATACTGAAGTGTAGTAAAGCAAGATATGTGAATAACCACACCAACTCTTCTGACATGAATAACAAGTATTTATTTAATCATACATTGTTTCGTTCTAACATTAACATTGCAAAGACAGCAGGTATGATAAAAAACCTGGTCATGATAGTTTTAGGTATATATATATAATCTCTTTTATTTGTGAATTTTCTAATTTAAAGAAGTTATTTTTGTGTATGCATTCACAATTTCTGATATTATAGCATTCAATTTTGTAAAATGTAATCAAAGAAGTGTTTCTAGTTAATCACATAATAGTCGCATGATCAGACCACCTGCTAATAAAAAGTATTTGTTGGACTAGTGTCAGAATTTGTAAGCTAACATTGACCCATCACTGATTGACAGTTTTCTTTTAAATGTTTGATTTATTTTTTTGTCTCGATTGATATAATTACACAGTATTCTTAAAATAGTTTTGATGTACTATCACGTTAACTGAAATATACCCTTGTCACAATGCTCCTCGACAGAAAGTAAAATAAAAGAACAAAAATCTTTACTATATATTTTTATTATACACATATACGTATTTAACATATTTCTATACACTTATATCATTTTAACAACATTCTGCATTATTATATAAAATGTTAACAAATTTCTAATATATAACATATTTTAGTCTTAAGGTCACGGAGTTGTTAAACTATTCTACTCAAATATACATAATGAACTATTTTATTATTTCAAACACCAAATATTCATAGTGTGCTATTCTTCACATTTTTGTTGTTGTTGCGCTCAATCAAGTCTCATTCAATCATTACAAGTAAAAATGAAACGTGTTGTATAATATGATCGGCTATTGAACAATATTGTAAACTTAAACTCGCGACATGAAGCTTTTATTATTATGAAATTTATTATAACTAAATACATTAATTGCACAACAATTGAATAATGGTATAAGATAACAGCCATAGGCTTTAATATAAAAATTATTACCATTTATCTCTTTCAAGTCCATGTAAGTAAAAATGAATCTATGTGTTGTACGGTTCATAATGGGTTATTGAATAATTTTACAATAAAACTTTTTCCGATATTAAGTGGACTATATTTTCATTGATGGATAGTTACAAATAAATGATAACTTATAAATTGTACAACATGAAGGTTTAATTATCATGAATAACTAAATGAATACATAGTATAACGAACATGGGTTTTACTATATACAGTGTCAGTTATGAACAAATTGTAATTAAATAATGTACATGAAAAATCATTCTTGCCATATTTACTATTATTGTACATCAGTTGAATAAGATAACAATCATAGGCTTTAATGTACAATTCATAAAGATAACTCCTACAGATAATGCCTTTGTCATATACAATTTCTATTAAACTGGTGTAACGTTTACAATGTCGTCTTTTGTTTTGTAATGACCGAGGGTATAGCTTTCGCAGAGATTTGGTAGGATCCACCGCTTGTCGTCAAAAGCACATAATCCAGATTTGTTGATGTTATACACGTATTACTGGTGTCTATAGCTCCTAATGGAATGCATTTCGCACATTATATTTTGTTTGTAAAAGAGGCATTCTTTGTACATCTCGTGACGCAAGTCGTGCTTTATGACAGCTTTGGCAACGCTTTTAGCCACTTGCTTTTCTTTGAACGAATTGGTAGTGATTCTCATGTTTTTAAACGTAAAAGTTTCTCGAACGGCATATCGAACGCTGTACATTTTGGCGCGAAGTCCTACAAACTCTGCGATAGGTTTGCCTGCGGTTTCGTCTTTAAAATAACCGGGTATCTTTTTATTGGTGGAATCGTAACAGAAGTGCCCCGCCGGATAATTTGACAAGTCAAACACATGTCTGTCATGTAACATGTCGACATAGATGTCGTCACAAAAACTGTCGGTGTCTGTGAATAATGATTTTATCCCGTCTCCATATTTCGGTTTGAGATATTTGTAGTAAAATTCGTACATGATATATTTCGATAAATCTAAGATGGTTTGACCCACGTAAATGGGTTTGTTTAACACTAGTTTTATTTTGGCGTTTTTTATGCCGGTCAAATCCTCATTAAATATGGTACATCTTTGAAAAGAAGGTCTTGAACAGGACCTTTTAAGTTTTTTGGTCGTGTGAGCGAGTTTAAAGTCGACTCTGTTGCGAACGTTTTCCATGGTCTTGCCAAACACAGTTGTTCATCAATTTAAAAAAAAACTTTTTCGAAATCGCTCGAGAGCATTCGTTTAACAGTATCAAAGTCGATGCATTTCCTCAACCAAGGGAGTTGTCTAAATTGCAACACTCTGTGGATTTTTGTAACTTTCAAATCCAGATCTAAATAGAGTTGTAAGTTTCTATAGTGACAAATGTATTTTGTCTTGCTATCAAGGTTTGGTATCAACTTTTCTATTTTTTACGCGGCCATATAGCTTAGATTCTGTATGTTTATCGCACGGACTAAGCTCTCTCCACAGTGCTTTGCTTGTGGGAGATAACTCCTCATCCGAGACGGTTTTCGCTCACCCTCTAAATAGACCCCTAGGATGTACCCCAAGTCACCCTCTTTAGGTATAGAGAGCAAGTCAAACTTATCGACTTCCTCAACCCAGCGAAAATCATCTACGGGCAATGGTTCTGTCATGGCTTTGCCATATAAATTGTTACAGTCTGTATACATGATATACGAGTCGGGATGGGATGAATCGTACGATTCGGGAATGTAGGGATTGTTGGCTAAAACAGGTACATGTCTGGGTCTGTGAGTAATTCCAAACAAACACCAGTCATTTTAGGGCTGACAAATACATCGTCTTTGTTAGAATCGTTTATGTCTCTCGGTGATAACCCGTTTAAAGATCTGTGAGGTGTAGCGCTGTAATTGATGATGAAATCTTGTAATCTATCGATGTATTGATAAGTTCTATATTTTGTAAAGTATCTGTACATCATCGTCTTGAGCGTCCTGATTACTCTTTCTGCATAATTAGCCTTTGTCTCATTCTGTCTGGTAAAATAGTGCACTTCATGTTCCTTTGTCACTACGCATGCGCTTTGGTAATTTTCCCTCTTTCGATAATTCTTTTAAAGGCATCTAATACATCTCTGGCTGTTTTTGTCTTTACAGGTTCAACCCATACGAAACGTGTGAATACGTCAATGACAACAAGGAGAAACCGATAACCAGATTTCTGCTTTGAAAGGGAGGAAACGTCTGCAAGATACGTCGTATTGCTCGAAGGGACCCGAAACGTCTAGTCGTGCTCGCTTAAAAGAACGTCTTGGAGGTTTCTGTAAACTGTTATCGTCGAGACTTTGTCTAGTTTTAAGACCTGGCGATTTATATCCTTGCAATGTTAATATCTGATGTACTTTCGTGGGACTGAGAAATGCGTCACCATTCTTAAAGTCATAATACACCGCATTTATGCGTCTTCTTTCATCTTCTATCAACATAATGATAATGAGACAAACATTTATGTATATACTCTTTTATTACAAATAAAAATATTTTACAGCGTTTTGTTTTTAAACTTATTCTCTAAACGAATCATGGACATGACCATATGACTGATTTTGTCTTTCCATTTCCATTTGGTTTTGAGTTCACCATTCCACGTTACATAACTGTGATATGGAGGCATTCCTCACACTTCTTGAAATGCTCGAGTTTACGTTTCTCGAATAAAGTCACGTATCACTTTTATGTCATCCACACTGTTAAAGGCGTCCTTTATACAACATTGTTGCTCTTCTACGATTTTTCTGACGTGGTATGCATATACTAGTTTTAAAAGGTTGTCCATTCTAATGCAATCTGACGAGTCAATTATCAGAAATTTCTTAACAAATCTACAAAGGGTATGGCAGGATAGAATGAGGATCGAAACACTCCACGAAAAGTTTCTGAATTCACAATGTTTCAAAGTTTTACCACACTTATAACATGTAATATAATCACCATGACCTTCGTAGAAAAATCCATCACGAGCCAGCTGGTATGGACGATGTGTACATGGCCACTGTAAGAATGTCATCAACCGACAGGTATGACTTGTCATGTGGTTATGATGTAGATAGATTCATCTGTATATTAATTGAATAACTGGGTTTCGACATTACCGATCTTCTTAACGTATTTCTTTATCTTTTCGCTATAACTTTGTTTTACGTAGTTCTCGTCCCTTAAACGTTCGTCTTGCATCAGACGTTGTAATGCGTCTGAAGGTATACAAGATTGAATGGCAAACTCACGCCAAGTCTTTTCCACTTCTAAATGATTTGTTAAAGTCAATGCTTCGTCAAAATGTAAGTCTATAATAACAGCAGTAGAATGCATCAGACATTCATGTTCATGTTGACCAGCTCGATGATTCTCACAGCCTAAACATACGAATAGTTCTGTTATTGTTGAATTTACAACGTATGCATAAGAGAGACACAGTAGATTTTTTTTATAATTCTCCTATAGGCCTTTTCTTCGTTTTTTTCAATCCGATAGTTTTGCAGTCTTAAACTGTTTAAGTAGTCTTTTCAATCTGTTTCTGAGCCATGTCATACAACTGAAACCTCTAGTAAGATGATGCCTTTTATAAGGATTACTGCCTCAATCGAACCTCAATCTGCCTTAATCTGCCTCAATCTAAACCTCAATCAGACTTCAATCGAACCTCAATCTGACCTCAATCTAACCTTAATCTGCCTCAATCGAACCTCAATCTAGCCCAATCTGCCTCAATCGAACCTCAATCGAACCTCAATTTGCCTCAATCTGCCTCAATCGAACCTCAATGTGCCTCAATCGAACCCTAATCTGCCTTAATCTGCCTCAATCGAACCTCAAACCGAACCTCAATCTTTCTTGGATTGAGGTTCGGATTGAGGTTGAGCATTGACATATTACATCTACTACTATAGTGTTTACCGCTGCCTCTTAATCATATACAGATGTAATGCGACAAAAAATTGATGGATTGTTTATTTTATCACAGCATTATTTTTTCCAAAAGCAAAGAAGTCGACGAAGTACCGATATATATATATAGTTAGACACTGACCTTCGGAGAGGAGCATTGAAATCAAAGCTGTCCTGTCGACACAACATCAAGAAAGGTACAATCGTCTCCTAACACACTGGCTTGATACAAGATCATTCGGACCAGTGGTTGGTGAATTAACGGGATTGGACACTATAGGAGAACTGGTGAATGATTTTACAGGTCACGACCGTAATGTTGTGTTAATTACTGCTGGAAACTAACCCCTTTTGGAAAACCAGGTTCCCCTTTTTGATTATGTTGGGGTTCATGATGGCTTACCTTATATGTCGATGCCTTCTGGACTCTTTTTGTCATATCGATTGTTTCCTATTGTTATTACACTGTTTTTCTCACGTTGACGATGTGGTATGTACTTTGTATTCGTGTGAAGACAATGTTGTATGTTTTATACCCCTGAGATTAGTAGCGACGAGTTATCTAGGAAACTTACTTAAGATAATACCTTCACTAAAATTGGCGAAAGTGTCGGGTACTTAAATATCTAGAAAGGATTTGCATTTTGGAGTCGTCCCAGGGTCACTAATACTGCAGCTATAAATAATAGAATATTTTTCAATATTGGGGCATTGTGAGATTGCTCACATATCTAAAGTGTACATTGCATTAATCGAAGACGATCAAACTGGTTTTTTTTTTCATTTTCATTGCAAGTGTAGTTGCTCTGTATAAAGTTGCTGTGGGTTATGCCACTGACATCATATGTTTGAAAGTTCTACTATAAGATCCATGCCTAAAGTTTATTATATTGTTTAATGGGTAATATTCGTAGTGGGTGGAAACTGCCCGTCAAACACGTCCGCTTAAAGTGCTGTATTTATTTCATGGTATGACATTAATCCTTGCATAACAGAAATTAAAACACAGCTGTGATGTCATCCATTGTTATTTGCGTACTATATCCAACAGAATTCATAGGTATCACATGTAGCCGTCCAATAAGTTACCTGTAGCTGTCCAATATGTACACAAAATAATTCACATAATGGACAGCTAAAGGTAAGTTTTTGAATGAGCACATACTTATGCTATACAATGGAAAACATAGTAATAGAATAAATGTGAAAATACATATTTATTAAATGTAACACAGAATTTAAATATCAACATTCTTAAAGTATAGCCGGTATTTATATTCCCATAGTCAGATTTCCAATGCACTATATAATTTTTCCTTGAAAGAAGGTTTGAATCACGGAACACTCTTTTCACATGAAACATCCATATAGATGCATACATATCCAAACACTTTACTGAGAGACACATTTCCAGCATTTTTTGTAATTTCCTTTGAATTCGTAATTTTGGCAATAACGCGTTGGAGTTGAGGGCAGTTCAAAACTTTTTTTCCACAATTTATGTGCAAAAGATTTCTTTCGTATCATCCCTTGAGATATTCGTGTATAATCCCAGATATATAGCTGTGATATATCTTTGATGAAAACATTTTATAGGTGGTGTTGAAATCTTGAATTTTCCCACTTTAATTGTGTGGTTTAATTATTTCATTTCATTCTCTCACAGATATAATCCCAGAAATATACTGTAATCGCTTTCTTCAATAAATCAATCACATTATTAGAATTTAATCCATTTCAATACTTAATGCTAATGCCCAAAACGTACTGCACAGGGACTTTGTTGGGAACGCACCTTCACAAGACGACATTATTCAAATGAGACTAAATTCTACCCGGGCATATTTCACACACCAGTAATGCATGCACTTGTACAAAAGCATGCAAAGGACACCATTGTCCTTTATTGTATCAATAACCTTCGTGGTTGATTGCACATACTGAACAGATATTGAAACTGTCCAATAATAACACAAATAGGGTGTGTGTTTTAAGTAAGATAAAAGCCTCAAAATGTCTATTATGTAAAATAATGGACAGTTTGAGGCTTATATCCTTTACGGAAATATATCTTCTCTTTATACAGCAGATTGAAAGATTCATGATAAACTGTTAAACACACATCAAAGAGAGATGACTAAACATTACATAAAGGATTATTAATGTAGACACGTCCAGCATGATCACAGACCTGCCTTGCCCATCGTGATACAGTCAATTTGATAATGCGAGAATTATAACTTGTAAAAGTAACCCCTTATACAGTGACATAGTAATTTACACAAAAGTCATCAATAATGTAGCATTGTTTAATAAAATTGGTAAATACATTGTAGCAGTAAGCATTCCAACACCTTAGTCATGCACTCAACCTATATGTTGCAACAATACAGTTTATCAATATCGCTCATTCTGACACATTTACCTGTATAAAACTAACGCTACGTGTATTGCCGTTAAACTTGAAAGTAAATATATCATGATCTGAAAACCAATTAAATACAGGACTTTTAAAAACATAATCTAGATATACATGCAACGGACATGGTGAAATGCGTACTACATGTATTTAGTAAGTCTAGATGTATACATACATAGTACATACCAAAATGTAGCAATGTTGTTGTTTTAGGTTGGATATTAGTCCTGTTATCGCGGACTAAGGATTATAAATAAAGATTTTGTTTTCACCCTTTAAGATAAAAATGTATTTGGCACATATCAACGTCATAGTTCGTACTTGTTCATATAAAACACACGGAGATAACACGATAAATCCTAAAGAAACTATTAAAGCATACCTACATAAACCTTTACATGGAACCCAAACAGTTACAGGTAATATAACCACATACTATCACACCTGTCCTAATCACATGATGTACACTTCCGTGCATTTATGCTTGGTCACTAACGGTATCACAAAACAGTCCTTTCAGATGAAGTGTGATTTTTTGTGGTGTCGAAATGTTCGCGTTTTTCGTTGTGAGTAAATTAACGCGAAAATATCCAAACGCGAAAATGTATCTATAGTTAAAAAAAAGATGTATAGAATTAATTATTTTCAAAACCATTGCCAACGCGAAAATTTCCACAACTTGATCAGTTTAATTATAAAGTCACAACGTGAAGATTTCCATGCGTGAACATTTCCACCTGTAACCAATATACTAAATAAAGCCAATGACGGGACGTTCTGCTGTCATTAACGTTATGGCATAACAAAGGTAAACACGTGTTGAAGAATTACAACTGTAAAACCGAAAACACTTGACGTAATTAATACCAACACACTGCATGTTATTTCTATAGTTATATGTTACAGCCAACCATCATTCAGTGACAAATTATATAACAGCACTTGTTTATTAGTAACTGAAAAGTCATTTAAAGGAGGCTAATAACGGACGGACTGAAAAATACTTCTTTTTCCAAACGGATGGGAACGATTCAATCGTTATTGCAGTAAAACTCTTTTGCGATTCGATGCATAAAATAAATACTATAGACAGGTTGGGACAGGCGGTATATACATGGAATAAAATGTTAGTAAACAGTTCCACATCTTAATGGATAACTTTGCTTTAAGCTGAAACAGGCATTCAAAAATTCGTTGTCCGTCTTTGCGTATTGCAGAGTTATCTTCTCTTGTGAGCAGGTATTGATTGTTACGTCAATGGTTTGTGTGAGAAAATTAAGTCGTTTTCTCAAAAATTGATGACGTTACTCTCACAAACCAATGACGTGACAATCAATACCTCCTCACAAGAGAAGATAACTCTGCAATACGCAAAGACGGATGAATGGGCACAATTTATTATTGTGTCAAAAGTCACACACACAATTTATAAACGCTCACACTGTGTGACGTGAAAGCACTGAATTAAGGTCGGTCAAGATATGACAGAAAGTCCTGGAGCTGACTGGATCGTCCGTGTGTAGCTTTCCATGTCCGACTTTGATTTCTGCTGGCTAGCTAGGGCGGCGGACCGGTCAGTTCTATCAAAACATAAACACGATCAATAAGACATAGAATCGAGGTAAGAACTCCGAAACTTTGTAATCTGCGCGCCGCGCCATTAAAATGTCAGGGTTTTATATAGTAGAGCTATAATAATATAATTTTACATTGAGCATAGGCTTTAAAACAGATATTATAAGAACCTGTATTTTAGCATAAAAACATGTTTGATATATAATTGATAACTCTAATGAAATCAGCGATATGTATGTTCAGGAGCTTATTTAAGTAAAACACCCATTACATGGTTATGTATGATAGCTTTGTTGTTTGTAATTCATGCCTTTTTTATAGTCTCTCTTATATAGTTCTGTCCAGGGTAGATAATATCAGCCATTGTTCTTGAGATAACACTTTCATTCGTACCAAACTATACACAAAAGAAGTTTTGAACGTCATTATAGCATCAATCGTTTCATTTGAAACCCAATTTATTGCCATCAGTTCTAAAATGTTCAATGTTCCTGTTTGATAGAATCCTCCCGCCCTCCTGATTTATTCTAATAACCCATTTACGACAGTTTGTAAGACTGTTGGTTTACTGTATTCTAATCAAAGAAGCATTGTCAAATTTTGAATTGAGAAATAAAAAGATTGACGTCTTGATTTAATTTTAATTGCCAAAACTTCACAAACAGTAAAGGCAAGGTGAGAATATGTGCATATTCCGTTCCCATTCAGATTTTATAAAGTAGCTAATAGAAACACTTATGTAAGATGCAGCATTTTATGGCAGGAATAAATGCCTGCTAAAACAGTAAAACATAATATCAGAAGGTATACCAATAACCAAGATGTAATCTCTATTGATATTCAATCGAAAATATTATTGGTGGTTTAGTATTGCTACAGTATGTGAATTAGTGAACTTGCACCTAAACTTTAACTGTAAGCAGTTGTTTTCTGTTTAAAAATATCTATACATGGCAACCACTACTGAACAACCTTCACTACAGTGCAACAGACACCAGTATACTTACATATCAACCTAAATAGAAAACAAACAAGTTAATCGTGGAAACAAACAAATTACCCGTCATACGTTATATGTGTTTTCCTTTAGTAACGGTCCAAGCAGCTTACATCATGAATACTGTTTCTGTCGATGTATATATTAAGAGTATGTAAAGTACTATATATATAGTAAAATAGAATGTCATTCAGAATAAAAAATAAAACGTACTACCCATACATATGAAGTTTAAATTGATACTACCTAGTAGAAGTTCCCTACCTTGATGTTGGTCTCGACTGTTGCCTTGACGACGGCCGTGACTTTTGCCTTGACGATGGACGTGACTGTTGTCTTGACGACGGCCTGGAATTCTGTCTGGTTGAAGGTGTAGATGTTGACAAAGTAGGGGTCACTCCCATCACCTTCTCAAACCTTTTCAAGTACTTCTTTTGACCTTCAAGCAGTTCGCTGGATTAAGAGGGAAGCAAACAAGACGTCAACATTCAGTATGTCAACTGAGCGGGAAAATTAGACTGCTTTTGGCATTGACAGTCATTGAGCGAGACAGTTGGCCGAACTTTACACAGCACAAGGTTAAAAGCTGTAGTTTCAACGAGTAATAGTCAACAAACACTGACGATAATAGAGTCATCACTGCTAGTCTAGGTCATTATTTTATAGACATATGACCTAACCAATGTAAAACAAAAAAATTCATCCCGAAGTGTCGTTTGGACATTGAGAACGCATTGAGATTAACAAAGTATTCGAGATCTGATTAAAATCATATTTTACATGGCTTCGTTAACTTCGTACTACGCCGGAACATCTGAGTGTGCCGCGGTCAGGGTCACATTCAGGTGACCTTTATATTTATAAATAATCATTAAATTTTGACCAATCAGAGACCCTCTTTCAAAAGGGCGCTCGGAGTCGTAATAAATATGGCGGACATTGATGAGAATAATGCGAAAGTTATTTGAGATTGATCGTCTGAAACCCGAACAGAAAAAGATTTTCGAAGCTTTATTAGAGAAGAAAGACTGTATGGCGGTGTTGCCTACGCAATTATTACCCAATGGGTACGTTTTCCTTTGCGTCGTAGAAACGTCAGTTCGCGCCGCCATATTTGTTTTGGAAAACTAATCTGTTCGATACCCCTCGCTATTTATATATCAACCATGATATTCCGATTCGCTGGCAAACTTTTGCCAGCGCGCCTCTGATTGGTTTATCTAAAGGTCACTTGAACGTGACCCTGACCGCGGCACATTCAGATGTTCAGGCGGAGCCGTGTAACAGATGATTTTAATCAGATTGGATCAGCATTCAGACATTATTTCAAATTATCAGAGTTGGTTTACTAACTTTGTCGATAATCATGATATCTTTCGGAACTTAAATATTCCCGGATACTGCATCTATACAAGAAGAAATACTAACTATTTGACAGATGAACATCACACAGAAAGCGGAAATCAGACAGAGCGAAGAATAGACTGGAAAAATTAAATAAGCGATGTTAAGTCGGGAACTAGATACGGATCTGATCAGATAGTGGTGAGATCGACCGAGATCCAAAGCCTCAAGGCACCAATGCGAGAAACAAAGAGGCCTGGAATGCATCATGTTTTGAACCATTTAGAGGACAGTGAAAGTCGGAAAACTCCAAGTGTTTGTTGAAAATGGATAAAAGAAAAAGGCTGAATTTCAGAAATGGTTAAGAATAGAATACGGCCAGATAACTTGTTTTCATCAATTAACACATACACGTTAACGTTTTCACTACTGAAGGAAATCAAAAGACTTCATTCGTACGTTTTACCATTTACTAGAGGAAGTCGGAGACGTACGATATATTTATTTTGTATAAAAGAGTCGTAGGGTTCTGCGGATTCCAAACAAATCCTGATGGAGGACATTGGAAAAGCACAGGTAATAATAGTTAAAGCCGACGAAGAGAGTATCTGGCTGTGTATGCAGGTTGTGGAAAGAAGCTGTCAGCTGATCATCAAAGTTATAGAATAACCATCTCTGCTGATCTGTCAGGGCTTGCGTACAAAACGGTCAGTACTAAAATATAATGCCTAATGATATCAACGGTAAAGCAGAAACAACAAGAAATGCATTTTCTTGTAATGGTTTCAAAATTTCGTGTCGCAAGACAAAAAAAAAACCCATTGGAACGTAGTTCTTCCGTATATTTGATATGAGCTACACCAAATTTGTTATGACAAACGCCAGGTAGCTTGTATACAAATATTTGCCTTGTAATTCTCGTATTGTATTAACATTTGTTTGATACACATGTTTACAAACATTTACCCAAAGTCGATTGTTCCATCGTGGTCTTCATCCAAACGTTCCATAAGAATTCCTACGTCCTTGTCTGATATAGGTATGCTGTTGGCCTGAAAAATATCACAATTTAAGTATCAATTCTGATGTATCCAGTTAATTGAACTCTCATTAGTACAGTCATTGCTAACCTTGTTGCTGTAGATAAAAGAAGACAGATGTATTATTTACTTAGAGCCAATGTGATTGGATGATCTAAACAAAACGAAGACAGTATGAATACCTACTGAGAAAGAAGGTATTAGGTATAATACTGAGAATGAAATATCTACTGGTAACGAAGGTGGCTGGTTTATCTCCTGTGCACGAATATATCTTCTATGGACGAAGATGATTGGATTATCGTCTAGGGACGAAGATGGCTGGATTATCTTCTAGGGATGAAGATGACTGGATTATTTTCTAGGGATAAAGATGACTGGATTATCTTCTAGGGATGAAGATGACTGGCTTATCTTCTAGGGACGAAGATGACTGGATTATCTTCTAGGGACGAAGATGACTGGATTATCTTCTAGGGACATAGATGGCTGGATTATCTTCTAGGGACGAAGATGACTGGATTGAAAAATCTTCTAGGGACGAAGATCACTGGATTATCTTCTACGAAGGGTGGGGGTATAAGATGACTAGGTTATCAACTTGAAACGTAATTGTCTGGATTTAATAGAATTAAGATTTTTTTCTGGACCCTTCTACATCTCATATTAAAGCCTTAAATACAAATCTTTCATCCATGCCGCATACCCGTTGTACCTACTTTCATGCCGTTACGGAACTCCTCAAAGCTTATGGAAAAGTTCTTGTCCGTGTCGAGCCTGTTGAAGAGGTCCATCCAGCGGAGTCTATTGTCATTGACGTAGTTGATGAGGAACAAGAAAGGGTCGTTCATACAGTTTTCTTCCCGCTTCTTTATAGATGCCTTAATAAGGTCGTGAGCGTTCGTGAAGCCGCCATGCACAACTTTAAACTTAGGTTTCAATTCCTGAATTTCATATACAAGTCTACAAGCTTCACTAGTCAGCCAAGAGTCCTAGGAATTAACAAACAGAAAAATAGATCAGGAAATTAACCCTATATGTTAACTGATAATACAGAAAAAAATTGTTTCATACCATACACAGGTACATTTTTATCAAGAGCGGCGAGATTAGACCCTGAACTGAAAACTAAACTTGATTTTGAACGAAAAGAATACTTCTATAACCTGGAAATCATTTAATATCACTGCGATCACATAATAAACAATGAGCCTGTCATTCGATATTTGTAGATATATAAACTAGCCTATATCTACCTACAATTGTTATCTCATCAAAGCATGCATTATGTATATAGCGTGTTGTATTATGGAGAGGACTATCATAAGTTGTAATCATTGACACCCTAATTTTACCCTAACCAAACTACACTATGTGCTATAGAAACAGATTCTGCGAGACACACCTGTATCTCTAGTAGCTGCAGACCCATCTCCGGATGGGCGTTGATGACGTGCAGGGCACTTTCTGGCCCTAGGGTTGTGATTGGGTTCTTACTCATCTGTAACAAATGTTTAAATGTTAAATACAAAGGATAACTGTGGTATTTTTATAGACCTCATTCGCCTTGTCAAACTCAACACCATTTGTAGCTGAAATACTCCTTGCATTCCTTGTATACATGGTGACAGTCAGTTGTTTATTTTTCTATTTAACTAAGCATACACGTATTTTAAAGGAAAAAATGAAAGAACCATATCACGTTACAACTGTAGCATGCTCCAACATATCACGACCCCTCTAACAAATTAACTGAACATGACTATAAGCCAAAACATTGATACTTTCGAAAACCTTTTCTGGGATGAGACCTTTTACCTTGCTTTATTGCTTAAATTGATTTCGATTTTATAAAGCTCACAACATAAATAGTGGACCCTTCTGTTACCATGGTGGTATGCGTTTTTGCCCTTACCTTAAGTTCGAGCAAGGCTTTGTTGCTCGCCGTTTGTTTAAGAAGGTTGGCCAGACCGATGGGCCCTATCCGATTGGCGTCCATTTGCAAGACTTCGAGCGTTTCGTTGATGGTTGCAGCTTGTACCAAACAGACGGCGCCCTCGTCGCCAATACCATTCCATGATACGTTAAGGGTTTTGATGCTAGTATTCTCCTGTATCATATTAAGTTTAAAACCCAGGTTACCATTGCATTCATCTAAAAGAGTCTGCTGACAGACGATTGTTTTTAAAATTGCAACCGATATGTAAGATAATTATAAGACTAATGCTTTTATATTATTTTAATGTAATTTTTTATTATGACATATTGTTTCGTACGTATTGAATGTCTGTAAAATCATTTCTGACCTAAGCTGTTGAAAGGATGTGAACCTCTATAAAACCTAACTAAATCATTGCTTTCCTCGATCGCTCTTTGAACGGTTTAAACTTGCACAAACATTGGTAGTGTTTTGAAGGTTTTAGCATCAGAAGACAAAACAGAGCTGACCTTGAGCCCTTCCGCCACGGCCTTGATCCCGTCGTAAGCAAGGTGGTTCCAGCTGATGTCAAGGATCTCTATCGTGTCGTTTGCAGCTAGAACGAGATACATGTAGGTATGTAGCGATTGATGCTTGAGTATAGCTGACATAATCGATAGACTTGCTTGATTTGTGAGATAACATTGATATTCATTTTTTTTATTATCATATTCCCAAACGCCCTCTCAACGTAATATTGATTATTCTTGACTTATTAAGACAGAGAAGTCTACAGTTCAACGCACGTTTCCGCTTTCGGTCCTGTTCTTTATGTCAGGCATAATACAGTTAAGATTAAGGAAACTGTATCAAACGATCTTTTCCCCTTATAAATAACCGACATATGACAACTGAAAAATTACAAGGCACAATTTACCACCACATGTGCTAACAGTATAGGCAATTAAAAAGTTGTAATATTTGAACAAATCATGATTTTGGGTTGAAATGTTTTTTGACAGGGATTACAAGCCAGTCTTTAGAATAGTAATGCAAAAATTGAAAATGTTGGATAAAATATGCATTTAAATCATCATTGAAGAACAATTTGATATGTAGCATCTATATGTTGCTGCCAGAAATTGTATTTTTAAACGTTATAAGGGGTTTTATAGGCATCTACTCTTTCGCTGTATTTCACATTGCCATTAACTTGCGTTCATTTGAGCTTTAGTACCACTGATAATGCATAAAGGGACGAAATACTTAGTAGCCATATAGTGCTGTAAAACGTTTACTATGTTGGGCTTTCTACAGCGACAAACTTACTATTCCTATACATGTAGGTGTTTCCTTATTTCGTATTTCTAGTACCTGTAATAATTTATCATTGATAAGTTTCGTGACTTTATTTTTGTAAAATTATATGTTTCAAATTCGAAATCTTGTAATGTAAATCAATATAATTTATATAATGGGTAATCTGACGTAATTGCTGATTCTTTGATTTTGAATAAAAAAAAATTGTTGTAAAATTGAGTATTTCATATTCTAAATCTTGTAATGTAAATTCAATATAATTTGCATCATGGGTAATTGCTGATTCTTTGATAAGAAATTAAAATTTCAAGATTTCGAATAAAGAAAATCCGTGAATATGAATATGAATATCTTTTGATTAGAGATAATAAATTTTATAATAAAATACAAGATTTAGAATATACAAAATGTTATTAAATATGAAAAGCAAGTTTTATAAAATAAATCACTAAAAGACTATGAACATATTGCAACGTTTGATACGCCATATCCTTAGATGAAGTAATCAATAAACAATTAACTGTTTCAATGGCTAGTCTGTCCAATCCTATTTTATCTTCGGCAGACATACAAAAATGGAATAACAAGTATTTATGTTGAAAGTTAGTGACATTTTCCTAGGAAAGCTGATTATAATAAAGTGAATCAGGGGAAGCCGCAATAGCAACATAAAGTACTGCTGTTTTAATGGAAGTTCTGTGGCTATCAATCAAAAATAAATGTAGACGCATCAGTGCGTTTTCGTGTTCTCAGGAAATTGTTACATCGATATCTTTCAGAGAAATCACAAGCCACCAGGACTGCTACACAAATTAATCCTGCAGACATGATTGTCTCCCGCACTCCCACCGGGGTAATTTTAGAATCGAAAATAGCATCAGAAAGGTAATAACAATTGACAGGTATGCCAACTGACAGGAAATAATAGTTTTAGCTAAAAGGGGAACTGTTGTTATGTGATCAAATAATTAATCGTGTTTCGATCTCCCGAAACCGACAGGTCTGTCGGAGCTTCGATTTTATTGTTGTGTTATACCATATATCATAACATCGATCAGTGATAGAGTTATCTCCTTTACGAACTTTAATGTGAATTATCCCATTATTCAGAATCAACCTCTCGTTGATAACATTACACTCTTGTGTACTTTTCTAATATACCATCAATTGATTACGAAGGCCCAAAATGCTATTTAATTATATTTCTAATTAAATAGTGCTTCACAATTCCGTCTTTGCGTATTGCAGAGTTATCTTCTCTTATGAGCAGGTATTGGTGTTACGTCATTGATTTGTGTGAGAAAATTGCGTCGTTTTCTCAAAAATTGATGAGTTACTCTCACAACCAAATGACGTAACAATCAGTACCTGCTCACAAGAGCAGATAACTCTGCAATATGCAAAGACGGAAAATATCTGTAACGGTTTGACACCAGACGTTTTAGACAATGTCATTAGTGCTTAACTCTTTGGAAAGGGAGATAAGTATTATAGAGAGCAACCACTTACCAATTGCTGGTCCTAGATGCTGTCCTCCTTCCGTCTCTAGGTTGTTATGGCTTAGATCCAACACACGTAAGGAAAACCGCTGCAACAAAACACAAATTGTAAATGTTTCAAATTAGTGCTAGAATGATTTATCTAATGTAGTTGACATGACTGACAATGATGGACTGATTAACAAACTGGCGCGAAGAAACCATAAAATGCCATTGTAGTAAGGTAAATACAGCTGATAAGTATAGACTGTATACATTGTAGTAACGTAAATACAGCTGTTAAGTATAGACTGTATACACTGTAGTTAGGTAAATACAGCTGATAAGTATAGACTGTATACACTGTAGTAAGGTAAATACAGCAGATAAGTATAGACTGTATACATTGTAGTAAGGTAAATACAGCAGATAAGTATAGACTGTATACACTGTAGTAAGGTAAATACAGCTGATAAGTATAGACTGTATACATTGTAGTAACGTATAACCAGCTGATAAGTATAGACTGTGTACATTGTAATTTACTAATGACGCTGACCATACTAAAACAGAGAATGAACATGAAGATGCTTCATATCAAATCTTTTTTCAGTGAAGATTTAAGTGCATATTTTATCCAACATTTTCAATTTATTGATTTAACCGTATGTATCGGCAAGAGGGAACAACTAAATTCATCCTCTTTACCTTCATCAGATGACACATTTTTCATTACTATTCTAATCACACAGGCTTGTAATAAATATGTTAACCAGTCATATATAGTGGTGAAAAAGAGATTCTAACAGTACACATGTACTGTATCTACTTACGTCAAACTGGATAGCCTGCGCGAATAGGAGCGCGTCATTTCGGTTAAACTGGTTACCTGTCGAGAACAGAAAAGGTATTTGTCAGACATAGGGTATATCAACAGCAGTCTACAATGATCTGAATTGCCAATATCGACATATCTGTCATTGTTTCATCTTCTTGATAAAGCCCACATAATCAAAGAGTTTTTTATGATTAAATTACGTTTGTTCTCTTTGAGACGACTATCCTTTAAACCAAGTTCGAATCAAATGTTATCCCCAGTCTACGGTGGATAGAGCGTGCATTGAAAATATATCGATTACAGATAAGACAAAATGAAACGCAAAAATGGAGAAATACGTGGTTTTTGTATTTGAATGTTTTGCTGTCGGAGTAAAGCTTTTGATCCATTTACAAACAGAGCTGATGTATCCTATCTATGACCGACTGAAGTACCCCTCTAACATACAGACTAGAGGGACAACAGATTCCCCTGGTAGACACTTGTAATAAGCCGCTTGTAATAGCACCCCACATATCTAAATTATTTAGGGATATCAGACCACCCCCCCCCCCCCCCCCCCCCCCGGTAGACACTTATCTGATCATGTTGATTGGTCAACTGTAGTTCCCTTCATTCTTTAAGACTTGAGGGACAGCATACCCCTTGTAGACACTTGTCTAACCATGTCGTTGGCCTACTGAATCCCCCTCATTTTATATGATTTAAGGGACAGCAGATCCGCGTTATAAACATATACGTAATAATGTCATTGGCCGACTTTATTACCCCTCACACAATTAGGGTTTCAAGAGATCCAAGGAACACGATAAACAGGCCATAGACCAATTGCATTACCCTAGATAAACTTTAATGACAGACTATCCCGAAGGTTGCCACGTACCTGGGGCCTTCATGAACTTTGATGGACAGAATGTCCCAACAATATACACCTACCTGAGGCCTTGAGAGACAAGATGCTGTCATTATGTAGCAGCATGTTACTGAGGGCCTGTGCACCGTGAGACTGTAGATTGTTATCGGATACATCCTAAATGGAAAGACAACACAATGTAAATAGTACCGTACATAAGAACTGAAGACAAGAATATATGTTAACATGCATCAGGTGACAATGTTACAAGAAAACGTGGTATCAATTGTAGACAAAACTACAATACAACTGTATCTACTTCAGACAACGCTACAATACATCTGTATCTACTTCAGACAACGCTACAATACAACTGTATCTACTTCAGACAACGCTACATTACAACTGTATCTACTTCAGACAACGCTACATTACAACCGTATCAACTTCAGCCAACGCTACAATACAACTGTATCTACTTCAGACAAAGCTACAATACAACTGTATCTACTTCAGACAACGCTACATTACAACCGTATCAACTTCAGCCAACGCTACAATACAACTGTATCTACTTCAGGCAACGCTACATTACAACTGTATCTACTTCAGCCAACGCTACAATACAACTGGATCTACTTCAGACAAAGCTACAATACAACTGTATGTACTTCAGACAAAGCTACAATGCAACTGTATCTACTTCAGACAACGCTACAATACATCTGTATCTACTTCAGACAACGCTACAATACAACGGTATCTGCTTCAAACAAAGCTACAATACAACTGTTTCTGCTTCAGACAAAGCTACAATACAACTGTATCTCCTTCGGACAAAGCTACAATACAACTGTATCTACTTCAGACAAAGCTACAATGCAACTGTATCTACTTCAGACAACTCTACAATACAAATGTATCTACTTCAGACAACGCTACAATACAACTGTATCTACTTCAGACCACGTTACAATACAACTGTATCTACTTCAGACAACGCTACATTACAGCTGTATCTACTTCAGACAACGCTACAATACAACGGTATCTACTTCAGACAAAGCTACAATGCAACTGTATCTACTTCAGACAACGCTACATTACAGCTGTATCTCCTTCAGACAACGCTACAATACAACTGTATCTACTGCAGACTAAGCTACAATTCAACTGAATCTACTTCAGACAACGCTACAATACAACTGTATCTACTGCAGACAAAGCTACAATACAACTGAATCTACTTCAGACAACGCTACAATACAACTGTATCTACTGCAGACAAAGCTACAATACAACTGAATCTACTTCAGACAACGCTACAATACAACTGTATCTTCTTCGGACAACGCTACAATACAACCGTATCTACTTCAGACAACGTTACAATACAACTGCATCTACTTCAGACAACGCTACAATACAACTCATAAGAACTGAAGACAAGAATATATGTTAACATGCATCAGGTGACAATGTTACAAGAAAACGTGGTATCAATTGTAGACAAAACTACAATACAACTGTATCTACATCAGACAACGCTACAATACAACTGTATCTACTTCAGACAAAGCTACACTACAACTGTATCTACTTCAGACAAAGCTACAATGCAACTGTATCTACTTCAGACAACGCTACAATACAATTGTATCTGCTTCAGACAAAGCTACAATACAACTGTATCTGCTTCAGACAACGCTACAATACAACTGTATCTACTGCAGACTAAGCTACAATTCAACTGAATCTACTTCAGACAACGCTACAATACAACTGTATCTTCTTCGGACAACGCTACAATACAACTGTATCTACTTCGGACAAAGCTACAATACAACTGTATCTACTTCAGACAACGTTACAATACAACTGCATCTACTTCAGACAACGCTACAATACAACTGTATCTTCTTCAGACAACGCTACATTACAACTGTATCTACTTCAGACAACGCTACAATACATCTGTATCTACTTCAGACAACGCTACAATACAACGGTATCTACTTCAGACAAAGCTACAATACAACTGTATCTACTTCGGACAAAGCTACAATACAACTGTATCTACTTCAGACAACAGACAAAGCTACAATACAACTGTATCTACTTCAGTCAACGCTACAATACAACTGTATCTACTTCAGACAACGTTACAATACAACTGCATCTACTTCAGACAACGCTACAATACAACTGTATCTACTGCAGACAAAGCTACAATACAACTGAATCTACTTCAGACAACGCTACAATGCAACTGTATCTACTTCAGACAACGCTACATTACAGCTGTATCTACTTCAGACAACGCTACAATACAACGGTATCTACTTCAGACAAAGCTACAATGCAACTGTATCTACTTCAGACAACTCTACAATACAAATGTATCTACTTCATACAACGCTACAATACAACTGTATCTACTTCAGACAACAGACAAAGCTACAATACAACTGTATCTACTTCAGACAACGTTACAATACAACTGCATCTACTTCAGACAACGCTACAATACAACTGTATCTGCTTCAGACAAAGCTACAATAGAACTGTATCTGCTTCAGACAAAGCTACAATACAACTGTATCTACTTCAGACAACAGACAAAGCTACAATACAACTGTATCTACTTCGGACAAATCTACAATACAACTGTATCTACTTCAAACAACGCTACAATACAACTGTATCTACTTCAGACAACAGACAAAGCTACAATACAACTGTATCTACTTCAGTCAACGCTACAATACAACTGTATCTACTTCAGACAAAGCTACACTACAACTGTATCTACTTCAGACAAAGCTACAATGCAACTGTATCTACTTCAGACAACGCTACAATACAATTGTATCTGCTTCAGACAAAGCTACAATACAACTGTATCTGCTTCAGACAAAGCTACAATAGAACTGTATCTGCTTCAGACAAAGCTACAATACAACTGTATCTGCTTCAGACAAAGCTACAATAGAACTGTATCTGCTTCAGACAAAGCTACAATACAACTGTATCTGCTTCAGACAACGCTACAATACAACTGTATCTACTGCAGACAAAGCTACAATACAACTGAATCTACTTCAGACAACGCTACAATACAACGGTATCTACTTCAGACAAAGCTACAATGCAACTGTATCTACTTCAGACAACTCTACAATACAAATGTATCTACTTCATACAACGCTACAATACAACTGTATCTACTTCAGACAACGTTACAATACAACTGCATCTACTTCAGACAACGCTACAATACAACTGTATCTTCTTCGGACAACGCTACAATACAACCGTATCTACTTCAGACAACGTTACAATACAACTGCATCTACTTCAGACAACGCTACAATACAACTCATAAGAACTGAAGACAAGAATATATGTTAACATGCATCAGGTGACAATGTTACAAGAAAACGTGGTATCAATTGTAGACAAAACTACAATACAACTGTATCTACATCAGACAACGCTACAAGACATCTGTATCTACTTCAGACAACGCTACAATACAACCGTATCTACTTCAGACAACGTTACAATACAACTGTATCTACTTCAGACAACGCTACATTACAGCTGTATCTCCTTCAGACAACGCTACAATACAACTGTATCTACTGCAGACTAAGCTACAATTCAACTGAATCTACTTCAGACAACGCTACAATACAACGGTATCTACTTCAGACAAAGCTACAATACAACTGAATCTACTTCAGACAACGCTACAATGCAACTGTATCTACTTCAGACAACGCTACAATACAATTGTATCTACTTCAGACAACGCTACATTACAACTGTATCTACTTCAGACAACGCTACAATACAACTATATCTATACTGGCTATACACAAATACATAGCCAGGTTAGCGTAGTCAAAAATAAGGCATTAAGGCTGATGTCTTCGTAATAATAGCCCACTGGACTTATAACATGTCAATATATTTTGCGATCTGCATTTCTGAGAAATGACCCATGCTTTAAAGTTTATTGATATGCCTAGTACATGCGGAGCTTTATTTCTCTTCTACTAGCTGTTGAGAGGAATTCCGACCTCAAATAAAGATAGATGTTGCCATGCGAAACAACCACTAAAATCATAGTAAAATCCCCTGGTAATACATTCTTGCAAATTTATAAATAAGAAAACAAAGGTTAAGTATATACAGGTAATGTAAAACATGTTACGCGGACGTTTAACTATGATTTTTGTACTTTCCCATAGCAACAATCATCTTCTTGTGAGGCCGGTATACCTCTCCACACATAGTTAAAGATAAATAAAGCCCCGAATGACCTAGGTATATAAATGATCTTCAAATAACATGTCTTTTCGTACCATTCAGTTGGGTCGCTTAAGAGTTTGACATGTTATAAATCTGGTGAGCAACTTTTATCATTACATCAGCCTTAATGCCGTATTATGACTTCGTTTACCTGGTTATGTGCCTTTTTAATAACTCATGTATAAGTTCAAAATATTTAAATTACATATATATATTCCGATTTTTGATAAGGGTATTTTAATATGACTTGCCAGGGGGTTGAAATTAAGGGTGACTATTACATCTTTTAGGAGGCTTGTTCAACCTTAAATTCGGTCATAAATAAATGAGAGATTAAAGTAGCGATCTCATCTCAGCGCCGACTAGGTCGCAACATCGCAAGCGTTTCAGGGGAACTGTAGTTCTATGGCCATCCGACGAAAAGTATACACCGGCCAAGGTAAGTGTCCGCCACGGCAATAGGATTACATAGAGACAACGACACATCCTATTTTACAAGGCAATGAGAAAATATGGAAACAATGTTACCAAGCAAAAGGAAAAAATTGAAACAATGTTACCAAGCAACGAGAAAATATAGAAACAATGTTACCGAACAACGAGAAAATATGGAACAATTTTACCAAGCAACGGGAAAATATTGAAACAATGTTACCCAGCAACGAGAAAATATGGAACAATCTTACCAAGCAACGGAAAAATATTGAAACAATGTTACCAAGCAATGGGAAAATATGGAACAATTTTACCAAGCAACGGGAAATAATTGTAACAATGTTACCAAGCAACGAGAAAATATGGAAACAATGTTACCGAACAACGAGAAAAGATGGATACAATTATACCAAGCAACGAGAAAAGATAGATACAATTATACCAAGCAACGAAAAAAAATTGATACAATGTTACCAAACAACGAGAGAAAATATGGATACAGTTATACCAAGCAACGAGAAACGATTGATACAATGTTACCAAATAACGAGGGAAAAGATGGATACAGTTATACCAAGCAACGAGAAAAGATGGATACAATTATACTAAGCAACGAAAAACGATTGATACAATGTTACCAAGCAACGAGAGAAAGGATGGATACAGTTATACCAAGCAACGAGAAAAGATGGATACAGTTGTACTAAGCAACGAAAAAAGATTGATACAATGTTACCAAGCAACGAGAGAAAGGATGGATACAGTTATACCAAGCAACGAGAAAAGATGGATACGATACANTACCAAGCAACGGGAAATAATTGTAACAATGTTACCAAGCAACGAGAAAATATGGAAACAATGTTACCGAACAACGAGAAAAGATGGATACAATTATACCAAGCAACGAGAAAAGATAGATACAATTATACCAAGCAACGAAAAAAAATTGATACAATGTTACCAAACAACGAGAGAAAATATGGATACAGTTATACCAAGCAACGAGAAACGATTGATACAATGTTACCAAATAACGAGGGAAAAGATGGATACAGTTATACCAAGCAACGAGAAAAGATGGATACAATTATACAAAGCAACGAAAAAAGATTGATACAATGTTACCAAGCAACGAGAGAAAATATGGATACAATGATATATTGATACATTAATATAAGGACGATTGGGACGATGTTACACAGCAATGTGAAAAGCTACAAGTCGAGGTTAAAAACGAGATAACGATACAAGGAGGAGAAAAATACAACATGGCCGTACAAATGGAGTCGATGACAGGACCAGCTTAAGACAAAGGTCAAGAAAAAAACCCATCTGGAATCGCTGAATGCTACTAGGCACAGTGGTAGTGGGTGATCAGACAAGACGAACGTAAGACTATACAGAAATTAATACTTGGTCAATGACAAGCTGGATACAATGGTAGATAAGACTAAATGAAGATAGGGATACAAGGTGATCAGAGTAGATGTAAAAACAGTCTTGACGATGGGTTATTTTAGTTGTGACGACGTGTTACTTACGATGTGATTGATGTTGTCGTTTACTAATAACATGTCTGTGAGGTAACGAATCCCCGTCTGTCCTATGGAGTTCCCCGCTATCACTACATCGGTCACCGTCCGGTCAATCTATAAAATAGAGAATGTAACGTTTTAACTAATACTACATTCAAATCTTGGGAGATACATGTACAGTCACCCAATAGCATCTAAACTTCCTTCTTGGTGGTTTTAATGATCTCCAATGAAAGCAGATTTTCAATATATGCAAGCTATATACATAGCTGATTTTATGTCGCGACACATAAACCAGGCCTCCATTAGACTGTTTGACAGGTATTGTTAAAAGGTTGCCACGAACCTAGCCCCCTTAGGGTGCCGATCCCCCCTTCTTGGTGCCTCCATTGTTTTGAGGTTTTTGATTGGCTAACATCCCACGCTACAATCTGATTGGCTGTAGGCCTCTTTCTTCATCTTTAAGAAAAAATTCAACGGCGCCATTTTGTGGCAGCATCTTTTTAGAAATTTATACCAAATTTGCCTTATTGAAAAACCCACCCTTACATGCCACTCCTTTTTAAGATTATTTGATTTATATATATATGTGTCGGTGTGGGCGTAATTCTGTCGAATCCCCACCTCAGGATGTAAATTGACAGTAAATATCATTTTCATAGTTTGTGTCATGATGTCATTATAATAAATTGTCATCTTATGATGGCCTTATTCAATTCTATATCTGCGTTGAGTTTTATGTGGAGTAGGCATAAATAAAGTATATTGTATGGAGAGCAGCATTCTTTATTGGAAACACACTGTTAACACTTGTGGAATCTGGACTAATTTGACTTCTGTTTGTGTATAGTTTCTGTGGTAAGCAGTAAATCCTCTTTATTTCAATCCAACTATAATAAATTGTCTAATCTTTATTAATTATGTACCCATGCTGTTTTGCTATAACATGTTAACAATATGGTGACGACACATAATGATTCTTCGTGACTATACATTTCATATGGATACCAAGCATCCTCGATACTCCAGGAGTTACACTCATTATCGCTGTTTTCACCCCTGTGATATGTCAAAGCAAAATAAATAGGCAAGGGGAAAGCTAATCGATTGGTCTGAGGTAAACAAAAGCCTGACCTAATGCTGGCCTGATGACTGTCATTCGAAGATTACAGAGGAGCGAGATCCGATTTCAAAGCCAGTCTAGTTTCTATTACGCGATCAAAGGATCTAACTAGTCTTCTCGTCTCATTCACAAAGTTGTGCACGCCGTGCTTTCGATTTTACAATGACATATTTCTGGGGGTAACCCCTGGAGTATCAAGTATGGTATAATAACAGCAGTTGCATGGTAAAATACTACACTATTATAAGTGAAAAATGCTATGTAACATATAATTATGTAAAATAATAATGCATGTACAATGCACTTCATTTCTGAGAACACTTTGCTCACCACGAGACTTAGGGCGACTGCCTGGGTCCCCAGGGGTCCTAAGCCCTGGTTTTGGAGGTTTACATGTCCCTTTTTGAGCCCGCGGAGAAACAGTGACGATGGTGTGATGCTGAACTTTATACATGCCCGGATGTAAACCAGACGAGCCTTCTCCTCTTCTGTTAAAATCTTCCGTTTGGGGTAGTTTTCTGTGCAACGAAATTTGAAGTTTGACTCATTAAAGGTACTTTTATTGGGTAATGTATAAAATGATCTCATGGGTAAGATGCTATCCTTGAAGATTAAGATATAATATGCCCCCATAGGGTTAGAGGCTACCCTTATGGGGTAATATTTAAAGTACCCCCACAGGGTTAGATGCTATCTTTATTGGGTAGTATATAAAATACCCCCACAGGGTTAGAGTCTACCCGTATGGGGTAATATATAAAATGCCCTCAAAGGGTTAGAGGCTACCCTTATTAGGTAATATATAAAATGCCTCCATAGGGTTAGAGGCTACCCTTATTAGGTAATATATGAAATGCCCTCAAAGGGTTGGAGGCTACCCTTATTAGGTAATACATGAAATGCCCTCAAAGGGTTAGAGGATATCTTTATGGGGCAAGACGTTATGTACAGTAGCTGCAAACTCTAAATCCTTCAATCAAAATTTCATTGTATGAATTAAGCAGCAACTCAGTGTCATACTATGGCCATAGGTGATAGTTTAATCTTATGTTTTAGACATTACCTTTAACAGTTAAAGTAATAAGATCAATAAATGGTTGAATATCATATTAATTCGGGCACTCAGTTATATATAGAGCATAAAAGAGATGTAAGAATGAAGGGCGATCTAATAAACAAACAGTGCTTGTTGATTATCATCTGTTGCACAGAAGCGGCTGTGTTTATGATATGGGAACACATGGTAAACTCTCAATGTCTATATATAAATACATACATACACACAAATATTTCATCAATAATAATCGGTCAATTTACTAAACAAGATTACAACAACTTCATATGTTATATCAATGGCAATAGAGTAAATGTATAGTTCTATATACATGTAAACACTGTCATTGGTGATTTCTAAAGTTGCTTCTGTTATTACTAAAAACATATCACATCGACCCAAATTAATATTCCAAAGATTTCCTGGATTCCTGTCTTGCTTCCTGGTAAAATGCTGAAAATAGATTTATTAATAAAAACTATGATAATTATATCTAAAAAATAATATTATTAAAATGATTTCATATCGTGTTATAAACAACTGAAAAAGTACTTATCCAGATTTTGTTCTGCAACAAAAGCAAAAAGATGTACATGTAGTTGTTATACATGTATACTAACACTGTCTCTGACATAACAAGAAATATTTCCCTTCGGCCGTCAACTTGTATTAAAAAAGACCTGTCCAAACAATTACAACCACTACATGTGTTCCATAGTAAGGTACGTCACGCTACAACCACTACATGTTGTCCATAGTAACGTCTGTCACGCTACAACCACAAAGTGTGTATCCATAGTAACGTCTGTCACGCTACATCCACTACATGTTATCCATAGTACCGTATGACCTGCTACAACCACTACATGTGTATCCATATTAACGTCCGTCACGCTACAACCACTACATATGTATCCATAGTAACGTCTGTCTCACTACAACCACTACATGCGTACCAACCGTAACGTCCGTCACACTACAACCACTACACGTGAATCTATAGTAACGTCTGTCACGCTACATCCACTACAAGTGTATCCATAGTTACGTCCGTCACGCTACAACCACTATATGTGTATACATAGGAACGTCCGTCACGCTACAACCACTATATGTGTATACATAGGAACGTCCGTCACGCTACAACCACTATATGTGTATACATAGTTACGTCCGTCACGCTACAACCACTACATGTGTATCCATAGTAACGTCCGTCACGCTACAACCACTACATGTGTATCCGTAGTAACGTCCGTCACGCTACAACCACTTCATGCGTACCAACCGTAATGTCCGTCACGCTACAACCATTACATGTGTATCCGTAGTAACGTCCGTCACGCTACAACCACTTCATGCGTACCGTACAACCGTAATGTCCGTCACGCTACAACCACTACATGTGTATCCGTAGTAACGTCCGTCACGCTACAACCACTACATGTGTATCCATATTAACGTCCGTCACGCTACAACCACTACATGCGTACCAACCGTAACGTCCGTTACGCTACAACCACTACATGTGTATCCATAATAAAGTCCGTCATGCTACAACCACTACATGCGTACCAACCGTAACGTCCGTTACGCTACAACCACTACATGTGTATCCATAATAACGTCCGTCATGCTACAACCACTACATGCGTACCAACCGTAACGTCCGTCACGCTACAACCACTACATGTGAATCCATAGTAACGTCCGTCACGCTACAACCACTTCATGCGTACCAACCGTAATGTCCGTCACGCTACAACCACTACATGTGTATCCGTAGTAACGTCCGTCACGCTACAACCACTACATGCGTACCAACCGTAACGTCCGTCACGCTACAACCACTACATGTGTATCCATAGTAACGTCCGTCACGCTACAACCGATACATGTGTAACCTGTCACGCTACAATCACTACACGTGTATTTTGCCTCGTTAATAATCACAACCACTACTACCACTTCATACCAGTTTTGTGCTGACTACAGTCCTACAAGTGATTCCGCTACTCCTTGGTGTTAGAGACTTACCCTTTTTGCCTTTTTTATCTTTATGTTTTTTAGGCACTGAAATAGTCAATCATGAAAATGTTCACGCCAGATCTAAAGTACAAGACCGTCACCACTATCACCGTCACCAAAGGGAACGTCCGGTAAGATATTTTTACAGGGTACATATTTTATGCCTAGTTACAAATACACATAGATGTATATGTTATCACAGATTTATTCGGTTCTTTATTTCAAATCGAATGCACTTATTTTTGATTTCAGATCAGTACATATCACAATACGTGATAATTCTTTTCAGTATATTAACCCTCAACCCAAAGGAAACAAACAAATAAATTCTATGATAATACAAATATAACGCCATATACCATGATATACCCTTTTCCAATTCTTAAGAAAGTAAAACAAAACTCTTTATATACGATAAATGGATAAATAAAGTGTTACAGTGTGAGAAAATATCTAGAGATGAAATGTAAATTACGTACATTGCATAACGGGTGCGATTTAGTGCTTTGCAATCATTTCTGATGAGGCAATAAAGAGGTGAATACCGTGATCTGTGCCATACGACTTGGATGATACTGTGATAAAACTGATATTGATCCACCCAGGTTTTACTTCGTGTGCGAAAAATATATCATGTTTTAACCTAGAAATGTTATTATAAAATCTTGTGCAATTTGTGATTTGATGTGATAATTAAAATAAACCCGGACCTCTACAATAGATATTCATTATAACCACCACAATGACCGGGAGTGATGTTCGGGCCGACATGAGGCACAGCAGGACAATTATTTCAAATATTGTAATTGTGAATTTAATATCAGTGATATGGAATTGCGTTCGAGGTATAAAGTATCAATATTGTCCAAATCAAATATATTTAGTCTCTTTGAAACAGTTAACGACTTTTAAACGACAGCTAAGTTTCTTATCAAAGTAACACATGCGTTAAATGACGAGACCATTAAAGTAACCACACACGTAATGCTGTAACTTAATGGCTTGGTGACATTTCAATTATTTGTGGTCACACGAGAACTTCACTGGTTCTCTACAATTATTACAAATCAATTGTTAAATAATGCAACAAGCAAACATATTCTTCGCTTTTATGACACAATAAAATCAAATGAAATTCTATATGTTGCAGTCTGATATAGCAGGGCTTACTTTCTATTGGATAAATACCAACTCTAGATCTGATTTCCCTATTGTCATTTGCTCTGATGTGTCCATTTGTTTCGACAACTGATGTGTCCCTGTGTGCTGTCATCTGTAATGCCCCTGTGTGCAGTGTCTATGTACGTTGTGATCTGCAGTGTCCATGTACGTTGTGATATGCTGTGTCTATGTACGTTGTGATCTGAAGTGTCCATGTACGTTGTGATCTGCAGTGTCTATGTACGTTGTGATATGCTGTGTCTATGTACGTTGTGACATGCAGTGTCCATGTACGGTGTGATCTGCAGTGTCTATGTACGTTTGATATGCTGTGTCTATGTACGTTGTGACCTGCAGTGTCCATGTACGTTGTGATCTGCAGGGTCCATGTACGTTGTGATCTTCAGGGTCCATGTACGTTGTGAGCTCAGGGTCCATGTACGGTGTGATCTGCAGGGTCTATGTACGTTTGATAGGCTGTGTCTATGTACGTTGTGACATGCAGTGTCCATGTACCGTGTGATCTGCAGTGTCTATGCACGCTGTGATCTGCAGTGTCTATGCACGCTGTGATCTGCAGTGTCTATGTACGTTGTGACATGCAGTGTCCATGTACGTTGTGATCTCAGGGTCCATGTACGTTGTGATCTCAGGGTCCATGTACGTTGTGACCTGCAGTGTTCATGTACGTTGTGATCTGCAGTGTCCATGTACGCTGTGATCTGCAGTGTCTATGTACGTTGTGACATGCAGTGTCCATGTACGTTGTGACCTGCAGTGTGTATGTACGTTGTGATCTGCAGTGTCTATGTACGCTGTGATCTGCAGTGTGTATGTACGCTGTGATCTGCAGTGTGTATGTACGTTGTGACCGGCAGTGTCTATGTACGTTGTGATTTGCAGTGTCCATGTACGTTGTGACCTGCAGTGTGTATGTACGTTGTGACATGCAGTGTCCATGTACGCTGTGATCTGCAGTGTCTATGTACGCTGTGATCTGCAGTGTCCATGTACGCTGTGATCTGCAGTGTATATGTACGTTGTGACCTGCAATGTCTATGCATTCTCTTTCCCTGTGTGCTGTGATCTGCTGTGTCTATGTACGTTGTGATCTGCTGTGTCTATGTACGGTGTGACCTGCAGTGTCTATGTACGTTGTGATCTGCAGTGTCTATGTACGTTGTGACCTGCAGTGTCTATGTACGTTGTGACCTGCAGTGTCTATGCATTCTCTTTCCCTTGGTACGGTGATCTACTGTGCCACCATGTGTGTTATATAGGTGCCAAACTTACCATGTTTCTTTGGTTTAGCTTTTTCTATTAGATTTTCTGTAACAACAAAACACTAAATATCGATATCCATGATTGCAGCTTGCCTCTTTTTAGCTTTACCTTTATTGTTATGAATATTACTGGATTGGTGCATTAACACATCTGTAAGTTTTTCCACTTTTACATTTTTTAGAACAATGCCAATGACAACAAAATGCGGCTTCAAAACAACATGGTATTTACATATTAGATATTGTTCTTCTTAGTTTAGGACCGATCCTGTTCCATTATAGTTCAACATTGTACGGTTGACACAATGTATGGCTGATAATCACAAGAAGCTCATTTTACACTGCATAAAAACATATAATTGGAACTGTGTGTTTTGTTTTTTTGTTGTTATTGTTGTTCACTTCGCTAGGGCTCCATACGAACGTTTTGCACGACTTCACCAGAATTTAGAACTACGAACATTTTGCACGACTTCACCAGAATTTAGAACTACGAACGTTTTGTACGACTTCATCAGAATTTAGAACTACGAACATTTTGCACGATTTCATCAGAAATTAGAACTACGAACGTTTTGCAAAACTTCATCAGAATTTATAACTACGAACGTTTTGCACAACTTCATCAGAGTTTAGAACTACGAACGTTTTGCACGACCTCATCAGAATTTAGAACTACGAACGTTTTGCATGACTTCATCAGAGCTTAGAACTACGAACGTTTTGAACGACTTCACCAGAGCTTAGAACTACGAACGTTTTGCACGACTTCACCAGAGCTTAGAACTACGAACGTGTTGCATGACTTCACCAGAACTTAGAACTACGAACTTGTTGCACGACTTCACCAGAGCTTAGAACTACGAACTTGTTGCATGACTTCATCAGAGCTTAGAACTACGAACGTTTAGCACGAATTCATTAGAACTTATACGAACGCTTTGTACGACTTAATCAAAATTTAGAACTACGAACGTTTTGCACGACTTCATCAGAGCTTAGAACCACGAACGTTTTGAACGACTTCATCAGAGCTTAGAACTACGAACGTTTTGCATGACTTCACCAGAGCTTAGAACTATGAACGTTTTGTACGACTTTACCAGAGCTTAGAACTACGAACGTTTTGCACGACTTCATCAGAATTTAGAACTACGAACGTTTTGCACGACTTCACCAGAGCTTAGAACTACGAACGCGTTGCACGACTTCGTCAGAGCTTAGAACTACGAACGTTTTGCACGACTTCACCAGAGCTTAGAACTACGAACGCTTTGCACGACTTCATCAGAGCTTAGAACAGTGAACGTTTTGCACGACTTCACCAAAGCTTAGAACTACGAACTTTTTGCACGACTTTACCAGATCCGAGAACAGTGAACGCTTTGCACGACATCACCAGAGCTCCTAAGAATGGTGTATGACTTCATTAGTGTTCAGAATTACGAACGTCATCACCAGGGTATACCTACGAGCGTTCTGTCTGACTTCACCAGACCTTTTATAGCGTTTGTATGATTTAACCTTGACCTTTACCAACAGTTTGTGCAACTTCATTGAGACTCCTATGAACGTTATGTACGGCTTAACATGAGATCATGTACGACTTCAACGGACCTTATACGAACATTACATACGAGTATTGACTTTTCTTTGTTCTATAGATATTCTACTTCATTGAAAATACATTCGTTTTACCATAAAACTCGCGAGTGCAAACCGTTTGTAACGCGACAAAAGTCTCAGACAGGACAAATTGGAAATACCTTACGAATATACCAGAAAACCATCGAAAGGTGTATGGGGATCGATCTACCTTAAATGAAATACACGGCGAATTAAGACAACCTTCAGAATGAAAGTATAATAACTTTTGACTCGTGTCTTATATGCAGTACTTAAGAACTAAATATTGTGACGAAGACCATGTGTCTATATTTCTAATAGATCAGTGCTTTGGTCTGGATTGATGTTAATCCGTATAGTGTTTTTCCTGTAGTGAAAACAGTACTGTGTTTGACTTTACAAATTATACAATACATACTTCAGATTTATCTAACATGTCAACTATTCTTCAGTGTTGCTATTTCTCTTTGTTGAGCATGTTAACTGTTAGGTCAGACTAATGAAAACATTACCCAGACTGTGGAATTCTAGCCGCCTTGTTGACGTTTCAACAACTGAACATTCATTATCGAAGTAATATCTCAATACCATAATTATTAAATCTTTATTGGATCCTGTTTGAGTCCATTGTGTGTACCGCGTGGGGTGCTACTTCAGGTATTCAATATCCACAAGACATTTAAACATACACAAAATACAATGACTGGTTGACGGGGGAGATAGTTTTGTAGGGAGAGCGAACATTGTCAGTTGTTCTTTAGGGTAGTAATACCTATAGCCTATTTCACGTCACACGTAGATACACCCAGGTAGTATTCAACTTCTCAACCCAAAACATCGCCCGTTACAATGAGAAAAGTTGAGTTAGAATACTCACATACTCACAATTAAATTATTCTTATTATCGGGAGTTTAAATCACATACTAACAAATAAAGACGATTCGCCGAAATTATTTCAATAGACATCCGATTTGAAATCAATTACGAACTATCTCTACTCTCGACGCTTAGAGCCAGTAACCCGAGCTCTGTGGCAAGGCGTCTGTCATTCCGAACCCTATTGTAGTTATGCAATACTATGTATTCATACAAATCAATAAGACTGCATTCCTAGAGTTAATCTTAATGATTGTATGCATTAACTAACAGTTTGAGAGTTTAGTTAGATATGACACTATAATAAAGCATTGAGGTAGTGATAAAGACATTAACGTAACTTTGAAATGAAGACAAAATTACTAAGTACGTCTACATTTTAACAGGTGCCTATTATCAGAATGAGTCAGGGGTATTTTTTATGTTTGTGATGAATATTTACTCATGACAGCTATTAAAAATCATATTTAAATGGACAATGTTTTTTATTATTACGCGATTATTTGTATACCCCCAACCGATTAACTTTTTAAAGTAATTATTTCCGAATTTGTCCCCGGAGACATAAAACAACCTGTACGTGAATAATCAGCCTTAGGAATTTACAACTGTAGGTACAAGTGTACATATCCCAGTACGTGAATAATCAGCCTTAGGAATTTACAACTGTAGGTACAAATGTACATATCCCAGTGGCGGATCCCCCCTCCCAGCCTGAGAATGTTCTTTAAAAAAATCATGTATTTTCACCATTTTCCTCAATTTTTCCCCACATGGAATTCTAAATGTCTACACTTCATTAGTAAAGAGAAATATTATTGACCAGCTGCCAGGGACATCGAGAACCGCACAGCCGTGTAGCGTATTCATATAATATAGTCGGAATACTTTGTAAAATAATATCTTTAAGAGGAGTTGCACTTGATTTTCAGTACAAAGTGTCATTTTCTAATATCAAAGAAGTTCTTAATTTTTATAAACACCAGAGGAGAAATTAAATCAGGTCAAAGGTCACGCAAAGGCAACGACATATTAAGTATGAAGCTCTAATGTGTTAAACAAAAGACGTATTTCTTCTTGGTGAAAATATCATTGAAAAAGTTACCCTGAATTATCTTTTTGAATGTAACATGTAATGTTGTTTTCATTGTTATTAGAAGTTTGCGCGATGTCATATACATTGTATGTGTGGTACCAATACACACACTGCTGTATAGAAGTACATCATAGAGTCTCGGGTTGTTAACAAGGCAGGACGATGTAACGATCCTAATTTACTAGCACACGACAGAAAACATTCATCTGTGTACTAAGGAATTCGTGCACTCCCAGACAAGACTATCAGTTAACGCTTGTCTGTAGTGTAATCGATACATCTATAATACTGTACACCACGACATTAAGTGTCGTCGGTGTGAGCTTTATAAAAATCCTTCCAGTAAAATGGTGACGGGGAATAAGATTTTAAATCAATAGAGTAGATAGTAATGTGTCTATAGTTGTATACACAGACCTCGGCTACGTCTGAGGCTCCGGACTAATATATTATCAACAAGTTACGTTTTTATCCAAGTTTATATACACACACATCACATATCATTTTGAATATTGAGATTATTTACCCCGTTTATCTTGATCTTGTATCTCGTTTAAAAGTCCGTAGGCTTAGCAATCTATCTCTGTCCTTGGACAACATATCTTTGTTATTAAATATAGTGTTTTCATTATCATTTGTAGATTATTCTCATTTGCAGATTATTCTATCCGATTGCTACAGTTTAAAAACAGAAATCAAATCAGTGAAAAACAATGAGAATATTAAACATCAATACACATAGATAAATTACACAGCAAGCAGATAGTAAAGATTATTTGGTATTGGAGCAGATGTCATTATAAAGAAATGGTCACACACGCATATATATAAATATATTAGCAAGAGGATACAAATCGGGTACTTACTGACATCCTCTAAATCCGTGTCCCATCCCTCCCCGTCCTCTATATCAACATTGACAGCTTCCATCGTTGGCTCGAGCGCAGAGGTTATGAGTTCGAGTTCCGATCCCAGGTCAGTGGCTGCAAGGGACTGTACCGGCGAAACCGCACGTGATGAGGTCTTTGGTTCTTCCCGAGGGTTCGGGATCCGTTCCCGAGGGGTTTCTCTTCTCTGAATTTTACTGGCACTGCTGGCTGGTCGCGGACTTCCAACCAAGCGCTCCATATTGTATTTAGATCAGCTGCTATATTTGCCGACCAACTCATCCATTGGCTATGTGGGGACACTACATTTTACACTCTGGAGAGTAACTGTATGTCACATGAGATAAGTTTAATTTCCAAAACTGCAGTGCAACTGTTTTTAAATCACCTTACATACAGGTTTTCAGAATTCTGCGCCTGTCAACAAGTAAAAAAATATGATTATTTTTTTATTTGGCTAGCGATTTATTATTGATTGTTAAAATTTAAAACCCGTTGCATTATTCAGTCCCTATTGGTTGACAGTGGCGTCTTTATTGAGACTGACTCAAATGAGCCAACATATATGCATAGTTATCAAATGATGATTTCTGTAGTATAAAAGTTCCTATATTTACGTCACCAGTCTGCTTTTCTGTAAAACTTAATGTTCCGTAAATGACCAATTAAGCTTCAATTTGTAATGGTCCTTTGTTCCAGTGAAATATAATACACGATCATGGATTGTCATGAATTAACCAACTTGCATGTCGATTTTTTTCATAGATTTTCATCCTCATCAAGCAATGATGAAAACTCAATGTCAGATACACAAGGGTAGGGACCTATAATTATATCAGCTCCCACGTGAAGGCTGTACCATATACTCGAACCATGATATCGACCGCAATGTCATAGCGACACAGAAAAAACTGGTTTGTTGAATACAAATATATCTACTATAAAGGTTTATCTTGGTTTAATTATTGTGTGATAAATATATACATATGTATGAACACCCTATCAAATGTCTCTCTATAGTGTTACAGGTCAAGCCCCGACCGTCAGATCAACCTCGTCACAAGTTCCGACCCATAAGTCTGATTGTATAATATCGAATCTTTACAATCAATAGTTATTTTCTTCTGAACCGATATAGGCGCAATAGATACTTCAACATTTCGATCTGCCTGGGATTTGTTTAACATAACAGATATATAGTCTTTAGATAGGGATCAGCTGTGAGCTAAGTGAGCAGGTCTACCTGCACATTCACACCTACTTACACCTGGTTCACCTGTGGAGAGTGACACTCAGGTGTTAGGTCCTGGGTGTTCTTATGTAGCCCACAAGTACTTACACATTCACGACAAATACATTTAAATTTACAACTAATAGCTAAATGTTTAATCATTATGTTTTTTATTGATTAAATTGGTTGAATTATTCATAGATATCTCGGTAAACAGATCCCGTTACTGAAGTCAATAAATTCTGATTACATTACAACATGTATCAAACTGTTTTGTAACCAAGTTATATATAACTTGTTATCTATGCCATTTTACATGAGTTATTCAGTTCTGCTTTAGACATTAATAAATTGAATGCTAATATACTTCTTTAGGTATACTTTAGACACTGTCTATATTCGGTACCGGATCTCTTCAGCAAAATTCACAAATATAGGACTTTAATTTTCAATCTCCATAAATATAAGTATAAGTAGTCATACTGTATCTGCATAGACTACGTCAGTGTGTCATACTGTATCTGTATAGACTACGTCAGTGTGTCACACTGTATCTGTATAGACTACGTCAGTGTGGCACACTGTATCTGTATAGACTACGTCAATGTGTCATACTGTATCTGTATAGACTACGTCAATGTGTCACCCTGTATCTGTATAGACTACGTCAATGTGTCACACTGTATCTTTGTAGACTACGTCAATGTGTCACACTGTATCTGTATATACTACGTCAATGTGTCACACTGTATCTGTATAGACTACGTCAGTGTGGCACACTGTATCTGTATAGACTACGTCAATGTGTCACCCTGTATCTGTATAGACTACGTCAATGTGTCACACTGTATCTTTGTAGACTACGTCAATGTGTCACACTGTATCTGTATATACTACGTCAATGTGTCACACTGTATCTGTATAGACTACTTTAGTGTGGCACACTGTATCTGTATTGACTACGTCAATGTGTCACACTGTATCTGTATATACTACGTCAATGTGTCACACTGTATCTGTATAGACTACTTTAGTGTGGCACACTGTATCTGTATTGACTACGTCAATGTGTCACACTGTATCTGTATATACTACGTCAATGTGTCACACTGTATCTGTATAGACTACTTTAGTGTGTCACACTGTATCTGTATAGACTACGTCAATGAGTCACACTGTATCTGTATTGACTATGTCAACGTGTCACACTATATCTGTATAGACTACGTCAGTGTGTCATACTGTATCTGTATAGACTACGTCAATGTGTCACCCTGTATCTGTATAGACTACGTCAATGTGTCACACTGTATCTGTATATACTACGTCAATGTGTCACACTGTATCTGTATAGACTACGTCAATGTGTCACACTGTATCTGTTAATACTACGTCAACGTGTCACACTGTATCTGTTAATACTACGTCAATGTGTCATACTGTATCTGTATAGACTACTTTAGTGTGTCACACTGTATCTGTATAGACTACGTCAATGTGTCACACTGTATCTGTATAGACTACGT